CTACAGGGGCTAGTCACCACCAACACTGGTAACTCACCAGTCTTACTGCCTCATACGTTGTCACCTTGACTACAAGGGCTAGTCTCCCCAAACACAGGTGTCTCACCAGTCTTACTGCTTCATACGTTGTCACCTTGACTACAGGGGCTAGTCTCCCCCAACACAGGTGTCTCACCAGTCTTACTGCTTCATACGTTGTCACCTTGACTACAGGGGCTAGTCTCCCCCAACACAGGTGTCTCACCAGTCTTACTGCCTCATACGTTGTCACCTTGACTACAGGGGCTAGTCTCCCCAAACACAGGTGTCTCACCAGTCTTACTGCCTCATACGTTGTCACCTTGACTACAGGGGCTAGTCTCCCCCAACACAGGTGTCTCACCAGTCTTACTGCCTCATACGTTGTCACCTTGACTACAGGGCTAGTCTCCCCCAACACAGGTGTCTCACCAGTCTTACTGCTTCATACGTTGTCACCTTGACTACAGGGGCTAGTCACCACCAACACAGGTGTCTCACCAGTCTTACTGCTTCATACGCTGTCACCATGACTACAGTGGCTAGTCTCCCCCAACACAGGTGTCTCACCAGTCTTACTGCTTAACACGCTGTCACCATGACTACAGTGGCTAGTCTCCCCCAACACAGGTGTCTCACCAGTCTTACTGCTTCATACGCTGTCACCTTGACTACAGTGGCTAGTCTCCCCTAACACAGGTGTCTCACCAGTCTTACTGCTTCATACGTTGTCACCTTGACTACAGTGGCTAGTCTCCCCCAACACAGATGCCTCACCAGTCTTACTGCTTCATACGCTGTCACCTTGACTACAGGGGCTAGTCTCCCCAACACAGGTGTCTCAACAGTCTTACTGCCTCATACGTTGTCACCTTGACTACAGGGGCTAGTCTCCCCAACACTGATGCCTCACCAGTCTTACTGCTTCATACGTTGTCACCTTGACTACAGGGGCTAGTCTCCCCCAACACAGATGTCTCACCAGTCTTACTGCTTCATACGTTGTCACCTTGACTACAGGGCTAGTCTCCCCAACACAGATGTCTCACCAGTCTTACTGCTTCATACGTTGTCACCTTGACTACAGGGGCTAGTCTCCCCCAACACAGGTGTCTCACCAGTCTTACTGCCTCATACGTTGTCACCTTGAATACAAGTGGCTAGTCTCCCCCAACACAGGTGTCTCACCAGTCTTACTGCTTCATACGTTGTCACCTTGACTACAGGGGCTAGTCTCCCCAACACAGGTGTCTCAACAGTCTTACTGCTTCATACGTTGTCACCTTGACTACAGTGCCTAGTCTCCCCCAACACAGGTGTCTCAACATTCTTACTGCTTCACACGCTGTCACCTTGACTACAGGGGCTAGTCTCCCCCAACACAGATGTCTCACCAGTCTTACTGCTTCATACGCTGTCACCTTGACTACAGTGGCTAGTCTCCCCCAACACAGATGTCTCACCAATCTTACTGCATCATACGTTGTCACCTTGACTACAGTGGCTTGTCTCCCCCAACACAGATGTCTCACCAGTCTTACTGCTTCATACGTTGTCACCTTGACTACAGTGGCTAGTCTCCCCCAACACAGGTGTCTCATCAGTCTTACTGCTTCATATGTTGTCACCTTGACTACAGGATCAGTTCCCCCCCACCCCGCGAACACAGCAGGTTGATGATGCATACATTGTCACCTAGTTGGCAGAGTCTATACCCCCTCGCATACATTGTACGACACATGTTCGCATGCATATACCTGATTGTGTGTCACAGATGACACAGTGGTTCTTGCAGGTCATGACACAAATGTAATACGTGAACATGATCATAATAACATTGACAATTTTGGCAATGATACATATATATATAGCGTTATCTGTTTGTGTTGTGCAAGACACCGGATCTCTAGGTTTATGCCCAAAGCAGCACGTGTTTACCCTGCGCGGAGATCGATGTGTTTCCCGACTGCAGGATCAGCGCCCTGGGATTACTCTGTATGTAGAACTCGGGACTTGCGTCTGCACACGAGGCCTTGGGCTTTACACGGAAGTCCACCAGTTCACATTGTGACCGACCTAAACATGGTCACAAACTGATCCCACTGTTTAATGACAGCTTAATATAGTTGAAGAACACACCATGCACTGCCACGGCTCACAGATCTTACGGTTGACATTTGCGGAAGAAAAGGCAATCAATCGGCATATTTCCTCCTCATTTTTGCTGAAGTTGACCAATTGTAAAACTACAGCCTGCTTGAATAAAGTTGCCCACCAGACTTAATTCTATTATCCACTTCTATCTACCAGTTTATAATTATGCTCGTGCCATAAAGCCAATGTATCTGACAGGACAGGAATGACGGTGAGACGGCTATAAATGTTGATGTGTGTGTCGCAGATAGTATAGGTGCCACAGTAGGACCACAGCAGGTGTGGGTGTGTACCCTTGTACACTGTTGTAAAACCAGCACTCTTTATGTTGTTACTGACACGATTCCCTACGCCAATTGTACAACCAGAACCCCTTGTGTTGTTACTGACACGAATCCCAACACTATTGTACAACCAGAACCCCTTGTGTTGTTACTGACACGAATCCCAACACTATTGTACAACCAGCACTCCTAGTGTTGTTACTGACACGAATCCCAACACTATTGTTCAACCAGCACTCCTAGTGTTGTTACTGACACGAATCCCAACACTATTGTACAACCAACCAACACTATTGTACGAAGCCTCTGTGTTGTTGCTGACACGAATCCCAACACTATTGTACCACCCCTTGTGTTGTTGCTGACACCAGCACTCCTAGTGTTGTTACTGACACGAATCCCAACACTATTGTACGACAAGCACCCTAGTGTTGTTGCTGACACGAATCCCAACACTATTGTACAGCCAGCACTCCCTGACACGAATCCCAACACTATTGTACAACCAGCACTCCTAGTGTTGTTGCTGACACGAATCCCAACACTATTGTACAACCAGCACTCCTAGTGTTGTTACTGACACGAATCCCAACACTATTGTACAACCAGCACTCCTAGTGTTGTTGCTGACACGAATCCCAACACTATTGTACAACCAGCACTCCTAGTGTTGTTACTGACACGAATCCCAACACTATTGTACAACCAGCACTCCTAGTGTTGTTGCTGACACGAATCCCAACACTATTGTACGACAAGCACTCCTTGTGTTGTTACTGCCACGAATCCCAACACTATTGTACAACCATCACTCCTAGTGTTGTTACTGCCACGAATCCCAACACTGTTGTACAACCATCACTCCTAGTGTTGTTACTGACACGAATCCCAACACTATTGTACGACAAGCACTTCTAGTGTTGTTGCTGACACGAATCCCAACACTATTGTACGACAAGCACTCCTAGTGTTGTTACTGACACGAATCCCAACACTATTGTACAACCATCACTCCTAGTGTTGTTACTGCCACGAATCCCAACACTATTGTACAACCAGCACTCCTAGTGTTGTTACTGCCACGAATCCCAACACTATTGTACAACCAGAACCCCTTGTGTTGTTACTGCCACGAATCCCAACACTATTGTACAACCAGCACTCCTAGTGTTGTTACTGACACGAATCCCAACGCTGATGTACAACCAGCACCCCTTGTACAACCAGCACCCTTCTACCAAGTATACCAACACTTTGATTCCACTGGCAAACGAATCTCAATACAACTGATACCGTGGAGATTCCAGGTACGAGTTCCCCAGATACTTTGAGTATTTGCAAACCACCGTCACACAGAAGCAAACACAGAGACAGTCGCGCGCGCGCGCACGCACGCACGCACGCACTCACACGGCCAGGCAGTAGTCGACGATTTTTGTACTCATATTTCATTTTAAAATGTCATTGAGATTCGTTCATAATGACCAACAGACTAGCACTGCGAGACAAGATACAGAGAAGTCAATCAACATCCTCTCGTCAGGTTCTAGCATCATCGCAGGGCAAGTGGAAGGTGTTTTATCTGGTACAGATTTGAACCAATTGGGTATATGTGAGTAACTGCCACATTCACATCACCTTCAATACTAGCATAGATAAGGAAGATAATGTGGTATACTTTAAAATTCAGGTCATTGCTTGTGAAAATTACTCCGACCATAGCTACGTACTTCCGCATTCAACTGTTATTTGGCGCTTATGTCGTTGTAGTCCTCGCCCGGGTTGGGAAGTATGTCGGCTTAATCCTAAATACTGCTGAAGGGGGTGACGTGACAGACGCGGCGTTAAGTCCAAGGTTGAGGAAAGCAGCTGAGGTGGACGAAGTTGCGTTGAGGAAGGGAGCCTGAAATGGAGGAAGGGTTGTTGAGGTGGGAGGAAGGGAGTTGATGAAGGGAGGTCGAGTTGGAAGAGGTGGCGTTCAAAAAGGGAGTTGAGGTGGAAGAAGTGGCGTTGAAGAAGGGAGTTGAGGTGGAGAGGGGGGGAATGTAGAAGGGGTGTTGTGATGGGGTGAGATGTGGGGAGGGGCGTTGAGGAAGGGAGGTGGAGGTGGAAGAAGAGACGTGAAGGAAGAAGCGTTGAGGTGGAGGAAGAGTGGTAGAGGAGGAGGGAGGGGTGTTGATATCTAAGAAGGGCGTTGAGGAGAGGTCTGGCGAGGATTGAGTTTGAGGTGGGAGATGAGACGAGACGTTCCAGAAGGGTTCCTTCCTTTATATTCAGGTCCAAGAAGACCATGGTCTACCGACAGCGCCACAAGACCATGCCTCCCTACATACACACCTGCGATAAGGCTGAAGGACGAGTGGCTCAACACGGAAAGTGGTGATCAGTTCCTGCATTGTGTCGACAACAACGTCCTGCTCTTTGCCACAAGCAAAACCATTGAGCACTCGTGTGAATAGAAACATTTCCTGTCTTTAACAATATATATTTCAACCTCTCCCCGCACACACACACTTCCTCCACTCCACCCTCCCTTCTTCCCCGTCACATTCTCCAACCCACCCTCCCTTCTTCCATGCGACTTCCTCCACCCCACCCTCCCTCTTTCATTTTCCCACCCTCCCACTTCACGCTCCACCCCACCCTCCCTTCTTCCACGCCACTTCTCCACCCCCCACACCCTCCCTTCTTCCACGTCACTCCCTTTCCCCACCCTCCCTTTCTTTCCACGCTAATCCCACCACCCCACCCTCCCCCTTCTTCCACGCCACTTCCCCACCCCACCCTCCCTTCTTCCACGCCTTTCCCTCCACTTCCTCCCTTCTTCCTTCCTCCCTTCCTCCCCCACCCTCCCTTCTTCCACGCTTCTTCACGTCCTTTCTCCACCCCACCCTCCCTTCTTCCACCCCTTCCTCCACCCCCTCCCCTTCCACGCCACTTCCTTCCCTTTCTCCACCCCACCCTCCTTCTTCCACGTCCACCACTCCACTTCCTCCACCCCACCCTCCCTTCTTCCACGCCACTTCCCTCCTCCACCCCTCCCTTCTTCCCTCCTTTCTTCCACGCCACTTCCTCCACCCCACCCTCCTTCTTTCCACGCCACTTCCTCCACCCCACCCTCCCTTCTTCCTTCCACCCCACCCTCCCTTCTTCCACGCTCATCCCTTCTTCCACAATCCCACCCTCCCTTCTTCTTCCACGCCACTTCCTCCACCCCACCCCCCTTCTTCCACGCCACTTCCTCCACCCCACCCCTCCCCTTCTTCCACTTCTTCCACGCCCTCCTCCACCCCACCCTCCCTTCTTCCACGCCGTTTCCTCCACCCCACCCTCCCCTTCTTCCTCGCCACTTCCTCCACCTCCCCACCCCACCCTCCCTTCTTCCACGCCACTTCCTCCAACCCACCCTCCCTTCTTCCACGCCATCCTTCCTCCACCCCACCCACCCTCCCTCCTCCACCCCACCCTCCCTTCTTCCACGCCGCTCTCTCCACCCCACCCTCCCTTCTTCCACGCCACTCCCTTCTTCCACCCTCCACCCTCTCCATCTTCCACGCCACTTCCACCACCCTCCCTTCTTCCCCCACCCCACTTCCTCCAACCCCCTTCTTCCACGTCACCCTCCCTTCGTTCCATGCCACTTCCACCACCCCACCCTCCCCTTCTTCCACGTCACGTTCGCCACCCCACCCTCCCTTCTTATATTTATATTTTTAATCACTTAATTCTTTTTGATCTGGTTACAGCATTTCAAGCATATTAAACAAGTCAGCATATTTGTTGTATTACATAGCAAGTCAAATTACAAAGTCATTATCTATGTAAATAGATTGTGTGAATATGTGTGATTTGTAATTGTAATTCAATTGTGGTTTCAGACCAGCGAGAGAAGGTGCAATGTTTGCTACCTTTCTAGAATATGTGTATTCTTTAGTTAATATGAAAATGAAATTCAGTACATCATTTCTTCTTTCCTTGAATCCGAGAATAATGGTTTCTGGGTTTGATTTCAAATGGATGTCTGTTTCATTTTCAATCCATTCTGGTAGATCTTGCCACAGCTTTTTGACATGTTTGCATTCTTATAATAAATTAATGATCGATTCTATTTCAACATCACAAAATGTACAAAGTGGTGATTCTATTAGTTTGTATTTATTCTTATGGAGAATGCGGTATTGAAGCGATCTGCGCTTAGCACTATATGATGCTCGAAATGGTATAAAATTATGTGTTTTCCAAAGATTAAACTTGTGTGATGTCTATGTTCAATTCTTTTTCCGACTTACTTTGATAAAGCAGTTTTTGGTTTATAGCTTCCTTGTGAAGAAGCCTGTTGTAAAATATGATACATCCTTTCTTAGCTTTGAGTAGTATTTCCAAATTAGGAGGAATAAAAGGTAAATCTTCCTTAATAATAATTTTGAACGAACTCTGTTTTGAATATGTTTTCAATGAGATATTAATCCTGTATATTCAAGGAAATTTGTTTTAACCCCCTTCAGTTCTACGAATTCTTTATAAGAAAGAAATGTATTGTCACCCTTTAGCAAATCATTTATAAATTTTACATTTGACTGTAGGTAGTGGTCATATACTACTGGTTTTCACCCTATTGTTATCTTATCATTTGCCCACATGTACTGTCTGCTGAGATGGTCATTATCAGATTTACTTTGTCCTTGTAATTCAGACCAGGCATCAAATGCGTCTTTCCAGAATGGGCTGATGAGTTTTGGAATATAATGTGTCTTCAGATACAATGGTCCCATTTCTATGGGGTTTAGTTTGCTCACTGGTTGTGAAGTATATAAAAGATTATTTAAGTTTGAGTCATGTACGAATAATCTTCTGAACCATGATATTTTCTGGGACTTAATTGTTTCAAGTATTGCTGGTACTTTTAGACCACCTTCTAGACATCGTTTTATTCTATCAGGTATACCTTTCTAAATAAAGGAGAAACATTTCTTTTGAAGGTTCACTATCGTTTCTAATTTAGGGTTTGCTAGCAAGGTGAAAGATGATTAAGTGTAGGTAAAATCAAGTTCTTTAGAATAGTTGTTCTTTCTAAAGGTGTAAGGTCTCTCAGAGTCCACATTTTCATTACTTTGTCAATTTGTTTAATTTTATCTACATAATTCTTTTCCACTATTTCTGCTTTATTATGTTAATATAGAATGCCCAAGAGTACAAAGGGTTTTTGAGTCCAGTCAAGGTTGTATTCTCTACAGTATTGCAAACTTGAAATATTGTTTCGAACCTATTCAAATAACTTTAGTTTTGTCAATATTTATTTTAAGTCCAGAGAAGGATGCTTATGTTTCAAGTAAATGTTTCCCTAAATGAGCGTTTAGACTCGTCTAAAACTATAATGGTATCATCGGCAAATTGAGTTAGTAGGTATTCTAGATCAATCATCCTTATTCCTTTTATCTTTTTGTTTTGTCGTAAAATGTGGGCCAGGATTTCTGCTACTATGAGGAATATATACGGCGAGAGGGAATGACCTTGTCTACAACACCGCGTAATTTGAAAGAATTCTGATGGAAACCCGTTTACAAGAACACTAGAGTTTATGCTATTGTAGAATGTTTTTAGCCAAATTTGGATAGATGGTCCGAAATTAAAGAAGTCAAGACATTTCTCGATAAAGGATCATTGCACCGAATCGAATGCTTTTTCGAAGTCTATAAGTATCAAAAGGCCTGCTTTATTCGTATATTCTGTGTAATCCATAATGTGGTTAACCAGTCTTGTACATTCTCCAATGTATCTGCCTTTCATAAATGCCTTTAGGTCTTCACTTATTATATTAGGAAGTATGTTTTAATACGTGCTGATATCACGGCTGAGGCTAGTTTATATGATATGTTTAATAGTGAAATGGGTCTGAAATGTTTCAGATGATCCTTAGATTTATCTCTCTTGGGAATGCATGTCATGAGACGTTGTTTTTAACTTATAGATAGCTCACCCTTCCTACATGCTTCATTTAATGAATTGATTAGGTATTTATTGATGTCTTTTCAAAATAATTTATAGAATTCAGCTGTAAAACCTGATGGACCAGGGCTTTTTTCAGTTTTCATATTTTTCAGTGCTGAAAGCACTTCATCGCATTGTATTTCGCCTTCAAGAGAATGGGTGTGGTTGTCAGATAATCTAGGTATTTCACTATCTTTGAATAAGAATTCTAGATCGACATCTTTGACATGTTTACTGGTATATAGAGTTTGAAAATAGGTCTTTGCATGGTTGATAAGATCCTTTGTTTCGCTTAATTGTCCGTCATCAGTTTCTAGCTTAGTTATTGCTTTGTTTAAGAAATTATGTTTTGTTTGTTTTTCTCCTTTTTCATACCATTTTCCTTTTGATCTCAATATAATTCCTTCAGTTTTGTATTTATTTAATTCAAGTTGCTGATCTTTTATTATATTAATTTCTTCTATCAATTTTGACTTAGTCTGTTCACTGTCAGTACTGTCTAATTTTACTTCAAGACTTTCAAGTGTTTCATTGTATTCTTCTTCTAATTTTAGTCGTTCTTTCTTTTTCTGAGATGAATATTTTATTGTGTGGCCTCGAATATTGCACATAAGTACTTCGAAAAACAGTTGTTCATTTATCTTTAGTACTTTATCTCCATCTTCGTCTCGAGTGTGATATTGATCTACAGTCTCGTTAATAATACCTTGGATTTCTCACACATGTTCGGGATCATGTAACTAACTGTTGTTAAATTTCCAAAAACCCTTTCCTTTCTCAAGAGATGTAAATTCAATATGTAACGATATTACTGAGTGATCTGATCTGTAACTATGTTCTATTTTAGAACTAATGATAGATTTGTCCATATTTCTAAATCTAAACGTGCTTGTTTCAAGGGTTTGGGTTTTCTCCAAGTATATCTTTTTACATCTAAATGTAAGTCCCGCCAGGGATCATAAAGGTTAAGTTCATCCATCATATCAAGTACAGCTTCTTTTGAATTGGGATTGTTTATATGTAAGTAATAGAAAGTATCTTTTGATTGATCTTGGACTAGATTAAAGTCACCGCATATAATATTAGTTTCAGCTTCTAGACTTAGTATTTTATTTTTAATTTCATGATAAAAGTCGGGCGTATCTACATTTGGACCATAAACATTTGTAATGCTTAATATCTCTTTCTCTGTTTTAAGTATCAAAGAGTCGCCACTATCACTGTCTTTTATATCTTTAAGAATTTCAAATTTAAAGTTATCTATAAATAAGATAGCTACTCCTCTCGATTGACTGGTGTACCAACTAAATCGGGCTTCTGAAGAGCCCCATTCTAATTTGATGTTTTGTTCGATGGTTTCAGTAAAATGTGTATCCTGGATACAATAAATGTTGCCTTTTCGTTTTTTCATGTTTTCGAACACATCAATCCTCTTCTTTTCATTATTCGAACCTTGGCAATTTGCAGAGAAGATGTCAAGTTTATGTGCCATATCGAGTCATTAAAAGTAGAGTGGCAAATAACATAAATCTGATCAAAATATAATGGCATGCCAATAGCTGACCCAATTTTGGCTGTCATAGAAACATCTTTTGAGAAATGAAAGTGAACATATATGGTTTAACAACATAGATATAAAGAAATGAAAAAAAGGACACATTGACCTCCGTCATTGTTCCAAGAAGAAATGGGGGACATTTACCCTCCCTCAGGATCATTCAATTTTGAATGTAAAGAGTATAATCCTGCCATTATTGCAAAATTTTAAAAAGCTAAATTAAAAAAAAAGAAACCATTTCTGTTGATTTGAATTCCATCAAAAGTAAAAGAACAATTCGGTATAGAACGGTTACCGTAGTATTCCTCAAAATAATAACCAAACCAAAGCGTACTCACTGAACAGAGTTCAAGGTGAAAATCTATCTGGCACAGATCGCATAAAGTAATCCGGAGAAAGAACACCAATCGTAATACAACCCTTGCATTGCGTACTACTCAAGTGACGACATGTCAAAAGTTTTAAGAAAAACATATATGGGTGTTTCATTATATTCACATTATTTCAGACATAGATGAGTGCTCTACACGTTGTATCTATTCGATATAAAACGGTAGTATTCCTCAAAATTATAGCAATTTCAAAACACACTCGCTGAGCAGAGTCCAAGTGTTTGAAATGAAAGTCCTACAGCACGGATGACATAAAATAGTTCAGGGAAAGAAAACCAATCATAATACAACCCTCCCTTCTTACACGTCACTTCCACCACCCAACCCTCCCTTCTTCCACGCCACGTCCTCCACGGCACCTCCTCCACCCCACCCTCCCTTCGTCAACGCCACTTCCTCCCCCAACCCTCCCTTCTTCCACGCCACCCTCCCTTCGTCAACGCCACTTCCTCCCCCCAACCCTCCCTTCTTCCACGCCACCCTCCCTTCGTCAACGCCACTTCCTCCCCCCAACCCTCCCTTCTTCCACGCCACCCTCCCTTCGTCAACGCCACTTCCTCCCCCCACCCTCCCTTCTTCCACGCCACCCCCTTTCTTCAACGCTAATTCCACCACCCCACCCCACCTTCTTCCACGTCACTTTCTCCACCCCTCACTCCCTTCTTCCACGCCGCTTCTTCCACCCCACACTCCTTTGTTCCACGCAACTTCCTCCACCCCACCCTCCCTTCTTCCACGCCACTTCCTCCACCCTACCCTCCCTTCTTCCACGCCACTTCCTCCACCCCACCCTCCCTTATTCCACGCCACTCTCTCCACCCCACTCTCCCTTCTTCCACGCCACTCTCTCTACCATTTGCATGGGCTTTCTTCGATATATTTGTTTCAGGGTCTGTATGACAGACTAAAGTTTCTATGTGCAGTGGGTTTGCATATGTCACGCGATTATGAAAGGGCGCATCTCTCTCTCTCACACACACACACACGCACACGCACACGCACACGCGCGCGGGCGCGTGGAATCAGGTCGTAGTATTCAGAAAACTGAAAGAGGTGTGGGTAATGTCGTACACAATTCGCTGTGCATAATTGGTCCACTATACATAGACATCATGTCACCTCTACACCAGGAAGTATGTTGGGCATATTTTTAACAATTCAATCGGGGCGTGGTACGTTCAATTTACAAACACGCCAGTAAACACACTTGAAAGCTATCTATACATTCAAGTTAGGAGAATCCCGATGTTATATATTCATACAACCCAGCAGATAACACTGTTACACTTCATGCATCTTTCCATAGGATAATTGGTGTATTTGTAAACAAAATGACTGACATCACAAAAGCTATGAACTATATGATCCAATCGGGAAAATAAGACCCAATAGTCTTGAAATCTTGCAACCAATAGCATAATCTGTAATATTAGTGACGTCGGTTTACTATTAAAGCAGGTCGTGTATAAAAGACAGACACATATAGGCTGCGCGTTAAATTTACACATTTCCCACGTATATTCTCGGCCGTGGTACATCATAGCTGGGGCAGATACAGCTTTTTTGAGAAAGGGGTCGTGCACAATTTCACCCGTTTTCACGAGAGTTTCAATTGTCATTTAATAAACTTTCAGGACAAAAGGTGGGTAGGCAACCCTGCACACACACACACACACACTGGATCCCCCTTAGTCTGTCTCACAGTCCCTTAACCACATTAATTTCCCTACTGCCAAGCCCTCTCTGCAGTGCTAAAGCCCTAAATAAAGCAAGTCTAGATTTCCTCAGGTTCTGAATCTCTGGTCTCCTTAGGGCTCCTTTTCAATATAAATGGGCTTGTTTGTTACTATCAAAATTATATATATTCAGAGACTAAGCCTTAGTCTAGATCCCCCCTGTGCATAGTGTAGTTTATCTCATGCGGAATTCGTGAATACGAACAGTCACATTATCAGTTCCCCTCAGTTCCATACTGTTACTGTGACTCACAGTCAGACATCGATGGAGGAAGTGTTAAGGACGAATTCATCAATCACTGACAGTAAAAGAATGTGAAACCAGAGGGTTACAAATTTGCTGCGACACCGTCCTGCGACATTATCGCCCTTGGAAATAGATGGCGCTAATATACCAGGAAGTGCGTCGATCACGAACCAGCCGGCTGTCCCTCGTCATGCCTGACTCATTTCCGTTTATCATACATCTCGGTCCTGGCAACTGGGCTTCCCGGTACGATATTGGGCGAATTTGAAATACGAAGCACTCCGACACCGTACAGCAGTGCGCTACGCGCCGCACTTATAGGGGTGTGTACACAAGTTGTCATTTGAAATACACACATACTGTCAGTTGTTAGTTAGCCAGAATGATAGTCAAAGCTCTTATCATCTGCTTATTATTTGTATTGTTCCTTATATCAACACAATATTCATGCATCTTTGGAAAACATACTGTTTTTATCTCCGGCCAATACGCGTACACAGCGTCTTGCGTCGCTGGATTATAGTTCCTGGGTCTTCCAATTTCACGAGTGTTAGAAATGGGCTATTCTACAGGAAAGGCCAATTGCATTTCAGACACACCTGGAAGTTGAATCGAACCAGAATATTAAAGGACGACAGATGGGTCTGCTGGAATGCACTATCAAATGTATGTGTGACAGACTTGAAGAATACCCATTTATGTAAATTGTCTTGAGACAATTGAGCAGGTACAAGAATATCTAGATGCATAAAATAATATAAAAAAAGAAGACCTGGACTTGGTTTTAAAACCCCAGTGACAGTTTGGAAACTGTATATGTAAGATTTGAGTATGTGAAATAATGATTCACATGCACCAGTTATATATTTTACTGTTTGCAATTTCGTGACGCTATAGGATATGTTCGCAACCCTGAAAGAAAATGAAAGAAAGGCTAACCTAACCCTGAGGAAAATTTGAGGAAATGATTATTGGTAAACATGGTAAAATAGTAACAAAATAAGGTGCCGAACATATTCCATAATCACACAGCAATGTCTTTTTTTAAGTTAGCTGTGAACATTGCTTTGGGAAATATTTAGTGTTGATACTGGTCAATACAATGTTAGTCCTTAATGCTCTATAGTTGCTGGATTGCTCACATAACTAGGTAGCTTCAGACAGCTTCTAATTTTGGGGGGATAGTAATTTGTGAAATGTGTCAATGCAGGAAGTAATCCAGTTGACAATGATGATCAAAATTAAATTTTGTGTTTGCCCAGCGGAGTTTCAAAATAAGTTGCTGTCTTTAGGCACATGATTGATACTTGGGATGTAATACTTTTGAAGTAAACAAAAAAGTGGATAGACTAAAAGCTAAACAGCTAAAATTTTTTGAATAATTCCGAATTCTGTTGGTTAAAGGCTAGAACATGGTTAAATAATGACACTGTGCCATGTCTGGGGTTTTTTTTCAGAAGAATCATATCCAGTGAAATCCATTTGGTCATTGCTGTAAATGTAAAATGTTTCAAGTTTTTTTACATTATATACCTTTCCATCTTGATTAGAAACTGATCAATTTCTTCCTTCATTGACAGCACCCAAACACCACTTATCAATTAATATTATCAATATTTCATATTTTGCTTCCCCTTGCATGAAAAAAACAGTCTATCATTCATAATTGTATTTGTTCTGCTACAGAATGTCACAAAACTCAATACTGTACAACAAATGAACAGTCACAATTGCACTACTCATGATTACGTACAGGGGACATTAAATTGTTCGTATAGGATTGAGAAATACTTAACATCGTTAAAAGAAATCATATTAGCTAACATAATATCTGAATTACACCACATGAGGTATCTTTACTCAAGAGTAAAGATGTATATCTTCGGGGCCTAGGACCCTTTGCTCTCTGACTTAGTCTAAAAAATACTGTTGGCCCCACTGAAGGCTTATTGGGTTGATTTAGTAAATTCTGAACATGGATATTTTCACTCTGAAATAGATAACATTCTACGACTAAGTCTGATCTCAACAAAAATGGAGAATGCTATCGGAATACCAATGTATAAGGGAGACAACTCATTCTGACTTAGTGCTTTGGAGTGCTTGATGTTTGTCAAATATTTATTACAGGTAGGATTCATTGGGACCACAGTTACATACTGTTTCACGCCAAGGAAGTAAGATTTTATGACCTATATATTTTATCCTGATGTTTCATATTTATCATGATTCATCAACACCAGGAAAATGAAGAAAGGAAGAAGTTCATGTCATGATATTTTCTGACTACAGATTACTCAAAACATTTGTTGATGATGTCACCGACTGTGTATAGGATAACCAGTATTTAAACACAGACACGCTCTGCACAAATTATAGCAAAGAATTTCATGTACAAGACTCTACCCTCTGATCAACACATCTCATTTCCTATTATCTTGAACATTAACTTACATCTGGTATTTCCGTATGTACACCAGTGATATTTTGTTTATCTGTTTATTGAAAGGAAACCACTCATTTTTAGAATGTATTTTGGGAGAAACAGTGCTTTGGAGTTCTATTATTATTAATTTCTGTCAGTATTTGAAGGGTTTTATAAAGTGATAATTCATTCAGTGTGATAATATTCCAGGAATATAATTATGTCAGGTTTCACCTGCGACAATGTTTTAGCTTTATGCAGGATATTGCCCATTAACTTATTGCTTTGACCGATAATTTCAAGGTTTGTCCCAGAGTCCACATAACACAGCATGTAATGTTTATAGTCCTAGAGTACATGAACATAGACTTTCAGTTCGACTTCTGTCTCAGTGTAAGAGGAATGCCAAGCCAACCATAGGTGTACAGTAATGTGTTTAGGGTGAAATGACATTGATCATGGATTTCAGTTTTTACAAATGCATTATCATCATGAGGCACTTTAAATTCCATGTCATAGTTTTGTGATGTTTAGTATTTCTGCAGGTCTCAGTGCTTAATACAAGGTACTGGCAAACAATGGTGCTTGCCATTACTGTTTGATGTGATGGTGGTAAAGTAGCCAACTTCAAGTAGGCTCTATGAATCAGGCCTCATTGCTGGTAGGACCTTGCGTTGTGTACTGTTTGATGTGATGGTGGTAAAGTAGCCAACTTCAAGTAGGCTCTATGAATCTGGCCTCATTGCTGGTAGGACCTTGCGTTGTGTACTGTTTCATGTGATGGTGGTAAAGTAGCCAACTTCAAGTAGGCTCTATGAATCAGGCCTCATTGCTGGTAGGACCTTGCGTTGTGTACTGTTTGGTGTGATGGTGGTAAAGTAGCCAACTTCAAGTAGGCTCTATGAATCTGGCCTTATTGCTGGTAGGACCTTGCGTTGTGTACTGTTTCATGTGATGGTGGTAAAGTAGCCAACTTCAAGTAGGCTCTATGAATCGGGCCTCATTGCTGGTAGGACTTTGCGTTGTGTACTGTTTCATGTGATGGTGGTAACGTAGCCAACTTCAAGTAGGCTCTATGTATCAGGCCTCATTGCTGGCAAAACATAACAAATAGAAATAGAAACTATATAATGTATTTACAAAACTTAATACAGTGAACTTCTCACTCCCTACACCTAACCTATCAACGTAATCTAAGCTATACCTAACAACCTAACCTATCAACCTAACCTAAGCTATACCTAACAACCTAACCTAACCTAACCTAATGTCTGATTTCAGAGCCTATGTCCAAAAATAAATATACTTAGCAGCAAAAATAACATCAGTACGAATTAAAAATAAGATAGGCACTGTTATCAAATCATTACAGAAATTGACATAATAAGCGGATCAAAAACATTTTTTGTGTACAATATCTTGACACATCAATGAATATCTCAGCAGAATTTCAAGACATTACGTGAACGTTTGCAGTCCATTCAGACTCTTGACTTCAGTATTTAGTGTGACCACCACAAGCGGCAATAACTGCAGCACAGCGTCTATGCATGGAGTGCACCAATTGATTGATGAAAGCCATTGGCACCTGGAACCACACTCAGAGAAAGGCCTGGCGCTATAAATCGGCTGTGTTCGGCCTTGGTTTGACATTATTCAGTCTCCTCTGAATTTCATCCCAAAGATGTTCAGTTGGGTTTAAATCAGGTCTAAGGGCTGGCCACTGCATAATGTTGACACCGTTCTGCTGTAGGAAGTCCCTTGTAGCTCTGGCAGTATGGTCCAGGGCGTTATCATGCTGGAAAATGTTGTTCCGGTGACGTGCAAAATGTGGTACGACGTGGGGTCTGAGAGCTTGGTCGATGTAGCGCACCGCTGTGATGCCGCCTCCTCTCCCTGGACTAAGGTTCTGGAACACCACAGGACCCACTCTCTGGTTCAGGCCTATTCCACCCCATACCATGATGCTTGCACCTCCCCATGAGTCTCTTTCCATAACACATTGGTCTGAGTAACGCTGGCCACGTCGTCACCATATTCTTGTTCTGCCATCTGCAGTTGATGCGCAGTACCGACTCTCATCTGTGAACAGAACAGTTCTCCATTGCCTGTATCGCCAGTTTTGGTGTTGTAGGGCAAACGGTAGACGTTCACGCCGATGACGAGGGATGAGGATAGGTCAAAGGTAAGGTCTACAGCAATGGATGTTCCCGCTGTTAAGACGTCGGCGTACAGTATCAGTACTGATTGGTCTTCAGTGTTTTCCCACTGTCTGGCGTGCTGTTTCGGATGCCTGCATGAGGGGATTCTGTACATGCTGTCGCACAACATAGCGGTCTTGTCGTCTTGTGGTCACCCTTGGTCTGCCAGTACAGGGGCGATCATTTGTGGTGTTGCTGGCCCGGAAACGTTCCTGCAGCCTGTAGATGGTCCGAACGTTGACCTGGAAGTGGTTGGCAACGGCTTGTGCAGTGTGGCCAGCTTCAAATCTTCCTAGCGCCTGGTTCCTCTCAGCTGTCGTGAGTCGCGGCATCCTGCTGACGCAATGTGAATGTTTCAACCAGGTTTGGGGGTGCATTTTATAGGGCTGGTCCTTGTGAACAGCACGTGCAGCATGAGTTACATGGAGAACACCGTACCATCTCCGAAATCAGGTTGCGTTTTTGAGACCATTTCCTGGGTTCCATTCTGAGTTTGGGAAGAAATGTCTTTGCTCAGATAAAGTTGGAGATGTTGTCAAAAATATACAATAAAAACATTAAATGAGCTTTTAGTTATCCGTTTCTGCGAAGGAAAATTCCAAACTGACATTCTTTTGCTGCTTAGTGTATATTAATTTCCTATGTAAAAGTCAATGAATGTAAAACAATAACCCCCAAAAGCCTATCTACTTGGTCTGGATTACAAAGACTGAAGCACGCTACGTAAATGTCCTCACCTCTGGTGAACCAGTGGGTTAAAGACAAGGAGTGCTGTGAAGCTACTCCCTTTATAGGGCTGGAGGCAGGCAGTCCATGTGCTGCCCATGCCAGGCAGACCACACTATACCAGCATAGCCGAGAACACACTAATAACCCATGTTAGGTTAACCCAACACCAAAAAGAACTAAAACTTTACCCAAAATATCCTAAACTACCACACTTGTTTGCCAGTATTTGTAATGGATCAGCAGGAACGATGACATGTGTCAACCAAGTCAGCGAGCCTGACCACCCGATCCCGTTAGTCGCCTCTTACGACAAGCATGGGTTACTGAAGATCGATATTCTAACCCGGACCTTCACTGGTATCAGAAACCTAAAGGCTCATGGTACTGATGTTTATGTACAAATGGGTGTTCAGAGTTATCGGTAACACATCATGTGACATGTATTTTAATTTCAAAGTAATCAGTATCCAGAAAATACCCTAGTGATCCAGCTAATACTTGTGTGTGATCATCATTTAAATGTTTTGGCACCACCATTGTTGCATGCAATGGCAATTGTTGGTGGTGTTCATGAAATTTGGACAGTTGACAATGGAAACAGTTTTACCAAATGCTGTGAAATTTTAAAAAGTGTAGCTTAGCTGTGAGTTTGTATTAGCAGTGTTTACAATCATTACTGATTGAGAAATTGTGGTTCCATACATTCAGTGAAATATCCTAGTCCAGACAGGTTGGCAATACTGGATAACCAAACAATTTCAGGTCTTTACAAGACACCATCTCCACCTTAAGCTGCCTTTCTGGCCACTTCACCCTCCTCAGTTTCCAACTTCTGTTTGTCCAATTCTGAAAATGTGGGCAAACATTTTGTCAGGTACAGCTAAGATCTTACATGCGTACACACACAAATGTCAAATCTTAGCTTGCGTACTGGTGGATAGAACCTCTCAATATTCCTCTGTTACTTTATCTATTTCAGAACATGAACTTGGCAACTTGCAGTCTTCCTTATTGTTTCTCATCTTATAAAATAATAAATAACAAACACATAAACCAACATTTAAATTTAAGTATATTTTTACAATTAATGGAAAATGGCAAAATACCCAATTGAGTTTGAGTGAGGTGGGTACAATTTATTTGGTTACTCAAAGGAAAATTAGGATACCCAATTGAGATTAACACAAGCGAGAACATAACGCAATGACCCGAAAGTTATCTGTATTTCTGATTTTGTTCAACTTCTTAACAATACATTTATAATGTGACTTTTCCAACTTCAGTTTCTCTTCCCACCGTACTCCAAGATGGCTGAAGAGAAGAGACGCAGCCCACTCAAGGTGGGCGCAGTTGTGGTCATGTACTGGACCATCTCCATATCCATGGTATTTATCATGAAACATTTGCTGAGCGGTAGCTACGGCAACCAGGACCTCACCATCTTCGTCACATGGTACCAGAGTGCCTCTGTGGTTGTGTTCATTCTGGCCATGTCAGCTGCATCTAGACTCCTCAAGTTTGGATTCAGTGTTCCTTCCCTGGATAAAGAAACTATTCTTAACAGTGACATGCTCTCACTGAGCTTCTCATTTGTCATCAGTCTCACAATGAACAACCTCCTGCTGAAACATATTAGTGTGTCATTTTATCAAGTTGCACGATCCCTGACTCTCATCTTCTCCATACTGTTGTCAGTCTGCATGCTGGCGAAAGCTCCTTCTTACAAAGTAGTATTTGCCTGTCTGCTAATCATATGTGGGTTTGTTATTGGGGTGGACCAAGAAGAGGCATCAGGCTCCATCACCATTTGGGGAATTATCTACGGACTACTAGCAAGTCTTACCTCGGCCTTAACAGGTATATATTTCAAGAAGGGAGAATATGCTGTTGGAGGAAGTGCTCTGAAGCTGGCTTACGTCAATAACTTTAACAGCATGGTGATAATATTTCCTCTTGTACTCAGCACAAATCAGCTGTCACATATCATGAACTCGGACATAGCTACCCAGCCCCAGTTGTGGTTGTTCCTTACAGCCTCGGGTGTTCTCAGTCTCGCCATTGGCTGGGCAAGTGCCCTGCAGATCCGCTACACCTCCCCGGTCACCCATCAGATCAGCATCAATGCCAAGTCCATTACTCAGACTGTCATCGCTATCTTATGGAACAATGAACATAAAACTGCATTCTGGTGGTTTGGTAACATCCTTGTGTTGTTTGGTATTGGGGTCTACACCTACACCAAGTTTCAAGAGACCAGGAGCCAAAAGGTTGAGACGTCACCAGTGCCGTCAAAGAACAGCTCTAGTGACAACTCTTCACCTAAGCAGCCAGCTGTGTGAAAGAAGGCAACAATTCATAACTACCCATGTTTTACCTCTATCTGTAACTACCATCCCATACTTTGGCCCATTTATTATGTTGACTGATTTGAATATGTCTCTGACTGTTTAACCTGTTTGTGCTACGTGATCCAAGGGTTACGTGATGGTGCTATTTAATGCATGGCTATTTTAAATGCTGTAGGTTGACCATGTATCCAAAGTCTATAGAATAGGACCTTAATATTGTATTAAATTATAATGTTTGTCCTTTTCCTGCAAAAAATCTCTACAGGACACTCATTTCAGTTCTGGTTCATTGTACTGATTGTGATTGTCATGAATGAAAATTTATTAGTAAGCAAATCTTCTGTCTTCAGGACAATAATTCTGGGCAAAATAAGGACTGTCAATTATGCCTGGAGAATGTTTGGGGTGTTGTTTTGTACACATAACATTATTGTATTTACCCAGAATTGCTCAGTACATTTGTGTATTCCTTATCAGAGTTTGCACCAGTATTATCACGAGCTGGTAATTACAGGTTTTGTCATAAGCCAAAAATGGTCCCAAACAAGTATTGGCTGGAGATGTTTTGTGCTCTTTTCCATTTCAAATTTCGAAATAAGGACTTGTTAGTATCATGAATCTCAGCGTGCTTCTTCACTCTCCTTGTACCGCTGCAGAAGTTACAATCTTCAGAGCTAATTTAGATATTCTGGGACGATTGGATTGTATCGTGTGTGGTTGTTTATTTGCCCACATAATGTGGACAAGTGTTTTTCCTGTTAATTATTACCATTCTTTGGTGTTGCTAATTGTCAAAAACTGTCAATAGTAGGCCCCAATATAGTTTTGGTTACATATCCTATGAGCTAAAACATATGTTTGGAAATTCACCGGTGGAAAACCAGAAAAGTATCTGACAAGAGCAGATTTTGTTTTGTGTATGACTTTTTGTGTATGTACATTTAAAAAGAATAACTATGTCACTAGGAGGTGGTGGGGTAGCGCCGTAGTTGAAGCACTTGCTATTACAACAAATGTCTCCTCATCCTATTTCTGGTGATCCCTGATCATGCTGGCGTTGATGGAAAATTGCTATTAGTGGTAAATGGTCGCTCTCTCGCTCACTCACGTTGAAATCCAACTGCATGACATCAAACCGAGTGACAGAACTGGTTATTTAATTGCTTCCTTTTCGCTTTCATTCCTTGAAACTTTTGAGCATTATTGTAATCAACAAATAATACTGAACAAAGACCACTCTCTAACTGGTAACTTTGCCCTTCGGAAACCAGTTTTATTCATTATCTCATGTGTGTCTTGTAACCTTGATTTAACAATTTTGAAGTTTAGACAGGAAAATCAGTACTGACCATAGTTATTCATTTGATGGTCCACCTATTTGCGTACCAAGAAGTAAGATTAGAATGTTCACTACCCCAATGTATTCATCAACTCTCATTTATTATACTTGATATGCATATGTTTTCACATTTCCTTGCCCTTGGTTTATGTATAATTGTGAGATATGTTCCTTGACCGCTGCCTGTGATATTTGTTTACTTGTGTTGAAGGATATGTACAAATTGGATCTGTCAGATGGGTTATTGTGTTTAATATACCTGCTGATGGTAGTGCATTTCAATCAGGACAATAGATTGTTGAAACCTTTTGTCAATCATAATCAAGTGAAAGATATTTTTTATACCATTTATTATTTGTTTATGTAATATTATTTTTTACTATCATTACCATTACTTACTAACCTGTTTGGCCACTTCTGATTAACATCAGAGAATTTTTGTATGTGATAGTCCTAACATGTCTGGCTCTGACTAGTATCACACAATGTTTTTTGTACATAATATTGCCAGCATATATACAGGGATTGGGAAAGGCAGGGGCCATGGGTCATTTCGCACATTAGAAAAAAAGAATGGGCCATTAAAATTGTTCAAGTTTACTACTGATTCAAGGGCAGTGGCCCATTCTAAATATAGAAAATGGCTAATAATCCTGAAAATGGCCCAAAGTCAAAGTTCTCTATCCAAGTCCCTGTATATATGTAGGCACAACAAGAAGATATTGGTAGGAACAGGGGCAGACACGGGGAATGGCAGGATAGTTTAGGGTGCATAGTCTTAATTTTACATTTTGTTTCTGCTTCTGAGGGGTAGTATGGTAGCCCACTGGTTCCAAAGCTTGCCAAAGATCCAGGTTTGATTCCCCACATGGGTACTATGTGGGAAGCCCATTTCTGGTGTCCTTTCCCCTCCCTCCCCCCCCCCCCTCATTGTGATATTGCTTGAATATTGCTAAAGGCAGTGTTAAACCCAACTCACTTACTCTACTTCTTAACCCATATTATCAACTGCATGTGTTATTGTCAAATTTAGGATTTTTATGCTGTCACAGAAAACTTATTTGATAATGTTTGTTTCAACATGTCAACCCAAACCCATTTGGACTTACAAGTGTGTGCTGAATCCAATTTCAGGTGTAATTTTCGTTTGCATTCAGCTGTTTCAAAGTTAACAGAATAGAACCCTCTACACACACGCACACACACACACACACTTTTGGAAATTTCTGGATCAGCCTATGTGATTGTATAGAAATACAGCTAGGAACCAACTCCAGCACACTCCAGGTTGACTCAGAATGTTTCATCCACCAAGCGTGGTAGTCAAAGGGAGATAACTCTTTGTGGACTATTAAGGCATCTTTGTCAATATTTGGAAATAGTTTTCTGATTTATTCTGCATTCTGTACTTTTTATGTTGGTGAGCTTTAACACATATAAAAGTAATTTATTTTGATTTGTTCTGAAGGAAGTCAGAAAAAAAAGGTATCAAGTATTTGTTGTGGTTGTACTTTGAGGTACAACAATTTGTATGACAGTATGCCAGAATGAAATAGGAATTGTAATAACTGAAATTTTAATCATTATTAAAACGTTAACCATTCCGACATTCCAGCCCACCTTGCAGCCTCCACTCACTCATGTACATTCTGACATGTTCAGTTTCCTGTTTCCTGTTTTATATTTCTGTTGTTGCACATATGTGATAATCTGTCATAGCATTTTGGTTGCCATGACAATAAGTACTGGACAGACAATCTCAAAGTATTGGACTAGGTTCCTTCTTAATGAAAGTGTTCATGTGAATGATGTGTATTGCTATGGTGTGTTCAAATTAAGTTGTTTTGTTACGAGAATTTGTGTTCCAGAGAAACTTAAACTGTATTAGTTGTCCAAAATATGTAGCACAAGAGATGCACATTTTGCAATTCAGTGACCAGCTGTGAATACAACTGAGAGGTGGTATGTGTTTGTGGCCCATCTCACAAGCCATTCATGCTGTTGTTGTAGGGGTGTTTACTTTCTTGTGTGTTCAGGGAGGGTAGGAACAAAGTTATAATTACCACTCATTTCATCTGTCTGGTCCCTTCTTGCAACCAGATGCATATCTGTACAAATATACATGGTTATCATGTTTATGGTCTAATGTTAGATCTGGTTACAGTTAACATTTGTTTTACATCGAGCCAATGGGGTCAATTGGGCTACCAAACCTCCATGCACTATTGTGTTGAAGTAGCAAGCCCACCAATATGGCTTTAATGTCTCTGAACAGCTTATCCTGAAGAACTGTGACCCTTATTCAACAATACATAATCACAGCAGACGGTGTTAATTGTGTGTAAGACTTTGTTATTTTGTGAAATGCAGGCAGATATAGAAGACTGTTTGGTACATGCAGACTTTGAAATTTTGAAATTGTGTTTTGATACCAACATATAACAATGAATATTGAAATAGCTTCCCGGGGCCTGAACTATAGGAAATGCGCACCAAAACAACTCCTTTTTTCAGAATACCAGTGTTACATGTTCTTTCTGAAACTTATCCAAACTAACATATGTTTTAACATACAAACCTGTTTACCACATAGTATCAGAAATATACATTGGAGACAGAAACTGAATGTGATATTGTCAATTGCAATGATAAGGAGAGGACAGCTGTACTAAATTACAGCTGAACTTTGGACTGTAAGTAAACTCAAGGTTAAATAACCCTCATTAAGTTTGAGGATGAATTAAATTCTTTTTCTTAGGGCCATTCGTAATTTATGACTGGTGTGTGTGTGTGTGTGTGTGAGAGAGAGATATGGTTTTAAGGGGGTCACCCATTTTGTTCTGGGGAGGGAGGAGGATTCATCAATTTTGTACACATATACTAGGGGGTCAGCAATTTTGTACATAAGGAAGGATAACAATATATGGATGAACAACTTCTTTATTGCTGTTGTTTAGCCATATATCGTTATCCTTCCTTACTGCTCCAACTTCTAAATGCCTCTCCAAGAAGTTAATTTTGTACATGACATTGGGGGTGCTGGGGGGTCACTTACTTTTGGGGGGAGGGGGGGTCATTGTACATGTTTCTCCATAAAAATCAGCAGCAGCTCCCAGCTATAATTATGAACGGTCCTTTACAAATACACTCAGATAGGCATGCTTCCATCCCCAGTATTATGAATGGGACTTATGAGCATTCAGCAACCTGTGTTCGAAACAAGGTAGTAGCTGAGAGTTGCTTGTTATAAGATGGTGTATCCAGTTGTAATCTGCCTATTATTTTCACAGAAACAGTGCTGCACAAATGTTTCCAATATGTACTGAGGAAACAAATAAGCATGTGTTCATTTATCCTTTTTCAGGTTTCCTCAAAGGCTTTGTATTGGGTTAAAATCTAAAAATATCTGCACACTGCAATGAAGTGGTGTTACCTTATTTGTTTCCCTCAGTATGTTTGGAAGGGGTATTATTTGAAAATGGTTGTGAATGGAGTGTCAAATAAAACATTTTTCACTCAGTACGTCTTTGTGTATTACAATCCAGGAAGGGTTCGTCTTCATTACGTGGTTCTTCATCTGTGACTCCAGTTTTCAGGTGTTAAGGAGTGGCTGTTGTTACCTGTGTTGCGGGTGCAATCTCTTCTTGCCTGTTTATAATTTGAAACACTTTTTCTGAAATAAATGCAAGAGGAAAGTGTTCTTTATAAATTTTGAGACCCATGAAGATCCGGGTTTTAATTATTCTCAATCTACCCATGCTTTTGTATATGACGACTAACAGGATCGGGTGGTCAGGCTGACTGACTTGATTGACACTCGTCATTGTATCCCAATTACTTAGATCAAGGCTCATGATGTCACTGGATTGTCTGCTCCAAACAATTTACAGACTGCCACCATAAACTGGAATATTGCTGAGAGTGGAGTTAAATGATAATTATGAGCGCGCGCTGAATCATTTCTTTGAAAGACATCAGTTACTTCTCCCATCTGTTGTAATGGAGATATACAAGGTGTAGAAGCTTCAGATGTGGATATTCTTTGAACTCTGTACATACTGTGCAAGTGTCACGTGACTTTGTACATGGATACAACTGTAGGTATCTTCACCAATCTTTGAACAAATAGGGTCTGTTCCACATCATTCTGCTAAAGTATATGGGTGAAAAGGTAGATAAGTTGGGGTTTCAAAAATATGTTATTTACTAGTTCTGAATTTATTTTCTGCATGGTCATAGCAATATATTTCACAAGCTAAAGAAATAGTGATGGTATCTGCACTGAGCCATTGTTTTATAGATTGTTTCTGTAAGGAGCATATCAAATACAGACCAAATATCAACATTCTGATATGTTTAGGTCCCTCATCTAATCCCTGGACAAAGTGTGTTGCCTCCTTTGAACAACTGTATTTCAGTTATTAAGCCAAGTCTTCTCAGGTTGCTGTGTGTGCGCCAGGTGTGGGAGGTCTTCCTCCTGGTGAAGCACTGGTATGGCACTACAGCTTAGGAACAACATCAGGATTTATCTGGGAATCAAACCCGTAATCAGTGTATCCAGCTAACAGTCCTCCAGTCCAACAACTAGGCCACTGGCATCTTAGATATGAGGTGAATATTATAGACTATAGACATGTCATTGGTATGCAGGTACATTTTACATGAACTATCTACTATACATCATTATTACTTGCATTGTTTCTGGGTCTTCCTCTACTTACTGAATACAGAATACAATACAAACCCTCATTCATTTCTGGTGCCATTCACATCTGAATAGTAAAATCCACTTGAACCACCCACCCAGCACATCAAGGAAGTCATAATGATCTTTTTTCGCAGGGGAAATAATCTATGTAAATGTTTAAAGTTTGGAAATTGAAATACTGTTACCATAAAGGGCGACAGATCTGGCCAAACAGCAGTCGAGGGAGTGCGGCTATGTTCTGTAACTTCTGTTGTCCAATGAAATCTCTGAACACAAGCAACGTGGGGCGTGCGTTGTGCAGCTGTGACGTCCATTGGTGAGAAGGGACATCAAGATGAGATGACTTCGGTCATTCCCTTGACACACATTCCCTGCTGCCTGAAAGCGACCCTGTAATATGCAACGATGTCTCCTCATACCATTACGCAAACACAGTCAAATGCATCCCGTCACACAACGTTAATTACCACCTGACGTCCACAACAACCACGTGGCCCTTGTATTGCTATTTTGTTGGCACCGCCCCCGGAAGGAATGTTTATTTTACAATGAACAACAAAATGCCCAGCAACAACATTTGGTGCACTTTTAGTTACAGGTATTCCAACTACACTCAAAACCACGATCATTTCCATGTAGGCTTGCCATAATTTTCACGACCTTAAGCCGTCAACAAAGTGTTTTGTCACCGTTAAAACATTTCCAAGATTGATTCGGTCCCATGTGAACAGTGAAAATCAGAAGACAAATTTTCACTGACATTTTTTGGCAATGACCGGAATGCACAAAACTATACGAATAGGAATGCACAACATTAAAACTGCTGACTAATCGTAAAGAAAAAACCCACACATTAACATTCATGAATAACTGGTGGTATTCAAGTAAGCGTATATATTTACTTGGTGGTCGTGACATTAATAGTTTTAGAAAAAAGTATCATTGTCAGGGTGTATTTGTATCCCGCTAAGCAAACTGATAACATTCTCGATCATGCAGGCCCTAACACATCTGTTTGATGGGCACGTATCCACGCGTTGCGTAAGTGAGTTTAGTTTTACGCCGCTTTTAGCAATATTCCAGCAATGTCACGGCTGGGGACACCAGAAATGGGTTTCACACATTGTACCCATGTGGGGAATCGAACCCGGGTTTTCAGCGTGACGAGCGAATGCTTTAACTACTAAAAAAGGAAAAGGTTGGAAAATGGTAGTAGCTACAGTCCTTAGTTCAACATGAGGTACGTACATGTCTTCATAAATGTGCCCCGTCGTAATAAATAAATAAATAAATAAATAATTACAAATAATCTCACAAAGAGTCTTATGTCATGTACAGTTCAACACAATAGGACATAAATACTTGCTTCGCTGAGCATTGTATCGTTTTGTTTTGATAAACGCCCTTGTGTGCTTCGGTCCGTGAAGGACTGTGGATGTATTTATTACAGTGAACATGTTTGACTTGGTGTTCATGTTGTCCCATATTGAAACCATCGCAGAACAAAGTATACCAGGCAGGTTACCTGTGAATAGGGATATGAATTTGGTTCTAAAAGCGTGCAAATTATGAACAAAAGAATTTAGAATTGTAATTTACTTCATTTTTTACAGATTATGTATGACCGTAATGGCACGATATTGGGCGTCCGGGTTATAGTCAAAAGGTCCAAAGGACAAAAGGGCCAAAACTGAAACTTCAGTTAAAGTTCACAATAGACATCGTCATCATTCCACTGAGGTGGTGGGGCCATAGATTCCTAAATCACACATCTTTAACTTCAGTTAAAGTTCACTATATATGAGTCATTTTTCAATTGAGATGTTTTAAATAAACAACACTGAGACACTCTGATCTGTTTAGGATGTTTTGACTTAAGTCTATGGCCCTTTTGACTTTTCGTTGGCCTTTTTTACTTTTCTTTGGCCCTCTTGACTTTTTCAATTTTGGCCCTTTTGTCCTTTGACCCTCTTGACCTGTTCCCAGGCGTCCATGCGAAACAGTATCAGTTACAAATTTAATACTTTTTGTGAGAAACAGTAGTTATTTTCTGTTTCGTGTAATAGATGGAGGCATAAACCTTCCTATACCCTCTACCCACCAGGTACATATATAAACACATATATTACATGGTAAAGGCAACATACTGTTGGATGATGAAGGAGCAAGAATTAGCTCTGAAACGTCGTGTAAAGAATAAATAAGAAGTTGTTATCCATAAAACGTGTCATGTATTCATGTTCATCCAACTTCTAAATGCCTTTCAAAAACTACTTTTGGATGACAACTTCTTTATTGAATCATAATGTAACAAAGCAGTTGTCGCCCATGAAGCACCGTGCCTGTTTCATGACTAATGCCATAACATGGCACTGAAGAGCATACATTACACATACCTATCGGCTATACTATTTTCCCATTCCCCGCATGTATACACGTATTACTGGCGTGCAGATACTGTTGTTGAAAGTAAATAATATGAGATATTACCTATAAAAATTACTGCATTGTTTCAGATTAAAACAAGTAGGCGGTCCTGCACATGTGGGTCAAGGACAATCGTAGCAGTACATTATTTCCAGTAATCTTTTCCCGTTTCAAAAGGTAACTGTTTTTGTACTCACCCGATAGAGAGCCGCACTTCCGTTACCTACGTATTCCCGCGAAAATTTCAAGGTAATTCATTTCTTAGTATGACAAATAATGAGTTTGATACGTGTTGGAGTATCAATATATCTTCGAATTATTCAACAGTAGTGCCTGACTAACAATAATTATATAACATTATGTGGATGAGCGTGGAATTGGAAGTCCGTGCTCTATTTTCCTGACTAGCCGAAACGAAATTAATGGTTGAAAATTCATAAAAAAGCCGTTATTTACTATTTCAGTAACCGCACCATATAACTTGATCTGTGTCCATTCAAAAATTTAGTTGATAGTGTGTGAGTTTTTACATTACCACTTTCTTATCAATGTGTGCGAATTTGAGAAATAGCTGGATTCAACAGGTATTTCACCATGGTAACTGATCACGTGAATGATCTATTTATAGCTAGGGAAACCCTTCAGACCTGTCCAAACTTGCGGAGATGTTTTTCAAAACAAAAGAAAGTGATGAGGATTAAGGTGCATCACTATCGAACAGTTGCTGTGCGCACGGTTAGACTCCATTTTCATGTTTCCCCACACAACAGCTAGTTGTGTTGGTCATTATAATTTCTAAATAATACAGGACTGGCAGTTTTATGTTTGATGCAATAACCAATTTGCATCTGTCATGTTTACATGTGATCATCTATATCCCACTCGTGTACTTCACACTAGATGGGGACACTATCATATTTTATTCAGTTGTTTATCTCAGAATTCACTAAACATTGAGACAGTCAGCTAGTACAGCTGAAGGACAACGTATATTACAGAGGACATAGCCATGAGGATTTAGCCATGAAATCAGCATCAACAATGACGTTAGAAATATTTAGACCACAGTAAACAAATGGATATTGTCCCTTCTTTATGAGCTAGTCTTCAGAAGGTACATAACACTCAACCTTCACATCAGAGGCCATTAGCTTCTGGTGGGGAAGTGAATAGGCTAAAACAACTGGGACTAGATGTATGATGAGTGATGGTATGGCTCCAATAGTGCGTGTGATTGATCCAGTTCCCTGGCCATTGACACTTCTGCTGATTTACATGACAGCAGCAAGGAAAAGAGTTGACACATTCATTTATTCACAAAAGCAAAGTCAAGAAATAACTGAAAATACACAAATATTACCTTTGTATTGGCACACTACTGTTAATGAAGGATGTGTTTTAGATTGCCATGGAATTGGGATCACATGTTATAAGATTACTGACATACAGCAATGTTCCCTTTAAACAATACCATTTTAAACCTTGATACAGAACTGTTAGCATGGAAGGATGCCTCTCCTACCAGATTAAATGCCATCCAGACTCCTAGACCTCTGCCTCATGTTTTACTCCTTCATTTGGGGTCAACATGATGTTTCTGCCCTACAGATATAATGATAGCATGATGGGTAAATGTTGATCACATCCCATGGGCACATCCAGTAAGCTGATTGTGGCATACCTGTATCAGTGTGGGCTTTCCTCCCACAATGAGTAGATATGCCTTAATACAACTGTAATACTGTTCTACTTGGTGTCGGAGCCAACTCAGTTACTATTATTAATGGAGGAGATTATTCCTAGGCCTTGTATCGTATTGGGTTGTCATCCACATGTCGTGGCGTTTGTTGCAGATGTTACATCCTCTTGGTGCGCATTAGGAAGTGGGAGAGCAGGATGGAGAAAAAACATAAAGAAATTTTAATAAAGCAGCGTGCCAACCTTGTGGAAAATGTCAACCCCAGAGACGGATTGTTTACCCAGCTGATATCCAGAAAGGTTCTCAACCCTAGAAATGTCCGTACCATCCAGGTAAGTGCAGGTGTCATCACTGCTTCAACATAGGTTGTGTCCCAACTGAACAAAACCTCTCACAGGTCCTGTGACTCACAGGACCTGTGAGGGGTTTTGTGCAGTTCCACCTCAGGAATCTGAACGGTTCTAAAACTGTCCACCCGACCAGCAGGTTATCTAAGTCTCCTTGTGTTCTGTTTCAGTACAAACCGTCCACCCGACCAGCAGGTTATCTAAGTGTCCTTGTGTTCTGTTTCAGTACAAGTACACCAGCCGTTATCAAGTCCTAGTGTTCTGTTTCAGTACAGGTTATCCTAAGTCTCCTTATCTGTTCCTGTTTCAGTACAAACCGTCCACCCGACCAGCAGGTTATCTAAGTCTCCTTGTGTTCTGTTTCAGTACAAACCGTCCACCCGACCAGCAGGTTATCTAAGTGTCCTTGTGTTCTGTTTCAGTACAAACCGTCCACCCGACCAGCAGGTTATCTAAGTGTCCTTGTGTTCTGTTTCAGTACAAACCGTCCACCCGACCAGCAGGTTATCTAAGTCTCCTTGTGTTCTGTTTCAGTACAAACCCGTCCACCCGACCAGCAGGTTATCTAAGTCTCCCTGTGTTCTGTTTCAGTACAACCGTCCACCCGACCAGCAGGTTATCTAAGTGTCCTTGTGTTCTGTTTCAGTACAACCGTCCACCCGACCAGCAGGTTATCTAAGTCTCCCTGTGTTCTGTTTCAGTACAAACCGTCCACCCGACCAGCAGGTTATCTAAGTGTCCTTGTGTTCTGTTTCAGTACAACCGTCCACCCGACCAGCAGGTTATCTAAGTCTCCTTGTGTTCTGTTTCAGTACAACCGTCCACCCGACCAGCAGGTTATCTAAGTCTCCCTGTGTTCTGTTTCAGTACAACCGTCCACCCGACCAGCAGGTGGAGGAACTGCTCAATGTTCTTCCAACACGAGGACCTGAAGCCTTCTCCAAGTTCTGTGAAGCACTGAAAGAAGATGACCAAGAACATGTGCTGGACTTCCTTAAATGTGAAGATAATAAATGTGAATCATCAAATGATGAAAAGTCATCCACATCAGAATCGGGCGAGTGTTCACGTAAACGAGCTCATTCACCATCCCCCCAAGTCCTGTGTATCAAAGACAAGGATAGTCAGAATTTAATGATCAAGTATTTATCCAGTGAGGAAAACTCTGAGAGTGCTGAGAAGAAGAAACAAATGTTTACAGATGGACATAAAGGCTATGAACAAGGGGAGCCAAGGCACATATTCAAACACTGGATATCTGAACCTGGGGTTGTCCACATCAGTCGATTTGTGCCGGTCGACCACCTTGAGAACTACATGGTCCCTCCAGCAAACTTGTCAGGGGATAAATACACCCCTTATCATCTCTCCCGATGTGACAGCCTAGGTGAGAAGCCTACAAGGGCTCAGTGTATTTATCTAGGTACTAAATAGAGGATATTATATGAGTGCCCATATCATACTATGATTACGACACAAATGCCTAAATGTTGGTATTTTCCGAGCAAGAGCGAGGGATATACCTATATTGAGGCACGAGTGTCGTAAACATAGTATGATATTGGGCACGAACATAATATTCTGTTTATTACCGAAGTCGTTAAATTGAGAAAAATACACCCAAATCTATACTCCTCACAAAAAAATAAGCAACAAGTATTTTCAGTGTAATATCTTTATCAATTTCGATAGCAATTTTTGCCGACATGTTACTGAAAGGTAAATATTCAAAGAATACATAACCTTTAGTGACTGTCAAATTAATTTATCTGATAACATTGACAACATAACCCGAACACAACCACACTCAGAAACAACATGCAAAATGTGTGGGATGAATGTGCACCACTCTTCACACATGCACCCTGATCATTGTAAACCTACCTGTAATCATTCCTCTGGCACAACAAGCGGGTCCTAACTTCATTTTAATGGGTGATAATGCCCGTCCATGGATGATAATGGCGAGAATGAGTTGTTAGCGATGTTGTTTAGATCAACAACATCACACATATGGACTGGCCTGCAAGGTCACTTGATCTTAATCCCATTGAACATGCTTGGGACATTATTGGAAGTCGTGTTTACGGTCTCCATGTGAACCCCAGACTCTGGATGACCTTGAGCAGGCGTTACAGAGAATGGCAGAACATTCCACAACAGCAACTTTAAAGGCTCATTTGGTCAATGCAAAGACGTGTAGAAGCTTGCATTTGTGCTCATGGTGGTCATACGCGTAACTGAACACTGCTTCACTGTCCAAAACTGACTTGAACCTTAATGATAACATTTTGCTCCATCAATGCAGCACATTTTGCACGACTGTTTCGCGGGTACATGCTTTTGATGATTTGTAAGTCTATTATTGCTCAATACCATTTCATTTCATTTTGTTAATCGTGTGTATACATATTTAACCTTTCTATTGCATCATTCCATGATTTGAAATTTCAATAAATGAAAATGTAATGAGACTACAAATTTGTGTTGCTTAACTTTTTGTGAGGAGTATACTTTCAAACATAGGCTAGCTACCTGCCGTCAGCCTATGTAGAATGCAACGATCATATAAGAAACATGACGTCATAGCATTGTTCATGACATCCGTCACCATGACAAAGTAATATTTTGCCCTAGGGCATTGTATGAAAAATATGTACCCAACGATATTTTTCGCCCTCAGTAGGTAATAATAAGTCTTAGTTAATAAGATCTAACTGGTTCGCAGTGGCAACACATCCATTCATGGCTAAAAACCTCCTGTGAATTTTGATGCACAAAAGTTTTCCAAACAGCATCCCATACCAGGTTATCATCAGGTTAACAGATTGTTTGTTGGGAGAATGCTTTCAAATTTTGGATGACATCATTTCCTTTGAAATCTCGCTTTTCAGATGCCATGAACAAGAGGCCTGTCCAGGTGTCCTCTCCACACCAGCCGTCCAGTGATACAACAGGTGACCACTCCTGTCTGCAGCTCTGTATTGCTGGGTTCTCTGATCACGTTTCTTGTACTGTGTCCATCCTAAAGTGTGACATCTATTTCAGTTGTAATTCAAGAAACATTGCCAAAATGAACAGGAGATATGGACATGAAATGTAGACAGTAAATCATGTCCTGCAATGTTTAATACCAAATTTCAAAAAAAAAAAATTTAGGTAAAGTTTATTAATACATCATAGCTGAATTCACTGAAGGGATATGATGTAGTTTTGATGTAGTTTTATGTTTGTGCATTATACTCGTATAGAAATTCCACAAATACTGCCTCCTATAGATGGGGTAGTGCATTATGTTTGGGTGTACACTATACTCAAGAAAATATGGTGATGGATAGATAATCTATGATTCCAAATTGTGTGCATGTTACTCGTTATCTGTGCATTTGTTGGAAAGTTGTCAATATCAACAAAGCTCTGGTGGAAATGCCAGATAAATGCTTTTTGCCCTTTCTAAAATAATGGCACTTGTGACAGAACATCATATAGACTACCATTCAATTCAAATGGGATTTGAACTATTTTATTATTCATATGTTCTGTCTGCCATATCCCGGGGAAACCTTCCTGATAAAACACAAGTCTGTCTGCAAAAAGGACTTGATCATTTCTAGTTCATTAGCATCTTATTCACTAAAAGCTGTGAGTGTTATAAAGTATTAGGTTTCCATTATAAAGAATTACAAAATGGACAGATGTGTTTTGTCAGATGAATTATTAAATATCTGTATATGCCAGCTTATGTGTACATTGTATTGTACATGGGTATGTTACCCACCTTGAGGTAACAAGGGGGTAGGTAGCCCCTGTGTGGGGGGCCACCTGTTGGATGTGACTATTGGCTTTTGTATGTACTGCACAGTGAGATGCTCATGCTGTCACCCACTGGTTTCCTGGTTAAGGCACAGACACGCCACAGATGACAGCAGTACAGTTACTGTCTACAATGCCCCTATAGTAAGAAGATTAGAATCCCTATCAGATGGTCCGCTGCTTAATAGAACCACTTTGAGGTACTAAGCAATAGTCTCTCACTCACTAATGTGTGCATGTTGAGCCAGTGTTGATCCTTGTCCCCAGATTCTGAAGCAGTCCAGCTAGCTAGCACCTTTGATGAGACCGAGGATGCTCAGATTGACCTTACAGATGGGCCAGTCAACGTCAAGGTCGACCATACATCCCGGCAGTTCTTCCTTGCGTGTCATCGAAAGGTAAACACAAGAACATGGCTGTTATAAAGGGGATGTTGTGATTTGTTACACTGCACTCTTGACGCTCCTAACTTGACACAATTCGCACACACCATTTGATTAACTCACCCTGCTCTGGATCACTTCAGGAGCCATTGATGTATTATTGGGTGGGTAGGGGGACAGGAGGTGTGATTCAAGGTTATGATGGGTGTGTAGGGGGACAGGAGGTGTTATCGAAGGTTTATGGTGGGTGGGTAGGGGGACGAGGGAGGGTGGGTGGGTGGGTGGGGGGACAGGAGGTGTGATTCGGAGGTTTTTGATGGGTGGACGGGAGGTGGATTGGAGGTTTTGATGGGTGGGTAGGGACAGGAGGTGGTGAAGGTTTTGATGGGTGGGTAGGGGGAGGGGGTGTGGATCGGGGGTTTTGATGGGTGGGAGACAGGTGTGATCAGAGGTTTTGATGGGTGGGTAGGCGACAGGAGGTGTGATCAGAGGTTTTGATGGGTGGGTAGGGGGAGGAGGAGGTGTGATCGGAGGTTTTGATGGGTGAGTAGGGACAGGAGGTGTGATCAGAAGGTGTTTGATGGGTGGGTAGGGGACGGAGGTGTGATGAGAGGTTTTGATGGGTGGGGGGCGACAGGGAGGTGGAGGAGGTGTGATCAGACAGGGTTTTGATGGGTGGGTGGGTAGGGGGACAGGAGGTGTGATCAGAGGTGGGTGAGTAGGCTGACAGGAGGTTTGATTGGTGGGTGGGGGGGAGGGAGGTGTGATCAGAGGTTTTGATGGGTGGGTAGGAGGGGACGGGAGGTGTGATCAGAGGTTTTGATGGGTGGGTAGGGCGACAGGAGGTGTGATCGAGAAGGTGTTTGATGGGTGGGTATCGGAGGTGGTGTAGGAGGTTTTGATGGTGGGTAGGGGAAGGAAGGTGTGACGGGAGGGTGTGATCGGGAGGTGTGATCAGAGGTTTTGATGGGTGGGTAGGCTGACAGGAGGTGTGATCGGAGGTTTTAATGGGTGGGTAGGGGACAGGAGGTGTGATCGGAGGTTTTGATGGGTGGGTAGGGGAAGGAGGGAGGGAACTGAGGTTTTGATGGGTGGGTAGGGGAACTGAAGGTGTGATCGGAGGTTTTTGATGGGTGGGTAGGGGGACGGGAGGTGTGATCGGAGATTTATGATGGGTGGGTAGGGGAACTGAAGGTGTGATCGGAGGTTTAATGCTTGTCATATTGATGAACAGCTCTCCCTGGATATATCTTCTTAGAAAATGTGTGTTATGTTTTACAACCACCCCTGGCAATGGTAATAGGTTTGGTGACACTCGCATAAGTCTGCTAACTCACCATCCCCTTGTAATAAATAATCAGTCTCTTGCAACAAGGAAGTCAGTGCTTAGGAAATACCCCTAAATTCTGTGTAGTGACCTTTGGTTGTAGCTTAACTCTTTCAACACCAGTCAACCAGAGGCTTTTACTGCCATGACACCGAGTTCCCAGAGACACTGAGGTTGGAGCCTATGGTTATCAAGGAAAATATCAGCTTGTAAAACATTATTGGTACTACATATCATACACCATTTGAAAGGTCTAATCCTATTGTTTATAAATATGAAATATATTTTTTTGATGATATTATTCACATAATCCAACTACAACTTAAATAAGTTAATTTTTAATGAAATTGCAAGCTTTAACATTATAATGTCCAGATAAACCACGAAGGAAGCAAAAAATGTGGCGATTTTTTTCCATTTGTAACATGTAATAATATCCCCTTACCTTTTTCTTCTATATTTTCATTTTAACACAATCGGAAAATTATTTTCAAAAAGATTTCTCAAATAATGTGTATGGTCGTCTATTTCCCGATATCAGTGGCTTTCCGCTCGGTTACGTGATACAACAGCGGGAAATACCTCGGTTTTCGAAGCTTCGTATAAGTAACATGTGAGGCAATTCGTTTGATGGCAGGTATCGTTTGAAAGCTCTCTACATCAACAATATCACTGTACCCTTGCCAAGAGTATTTTCACAGTTGTAAGAAGTGATTTTATTGGATAAAGATTGGTTTCTAATGATGCTTTTTTCGCCACAATCTGCTATAAGGATCGTGATTGGTCAAAATTGTACACGTGATCTAAGGCAGCCAATCATATTGCAGCAATGGATACCATCCTCGTAAACAAAAACTTAAAGTTTCAGACGAAAGTTTTGGGTAAAATCACGCTATTCTGAGAGTGTTACGCAAAAAGTCACTACCTATACGTATATTATGGAACTTAGTGGATGTATCGTGCTAGGTTATGACCTGTGACAAAAATGCTTCATGCATATATTTTAGCATTAAACATCGTGTCCGAGTGTAAAGTTCGAGGCAACGAAAGCCGAGATGTCACTTGAATTACATTACACGATCGCTCAAAAGGATGGAAATAGTAAGTTATAATGCACGTTTGACAACTTTTATGAGTACTGTTGCTGATTTTATTCTTCAGTTTATTCAGTGTGTTTAATTATTTCCTCGAAACATTGTTACTTTGCTCTTTGACAACTTTGCTGTGGACCCGTTGCTGAAGCATGTGTCCGAGAATTGTTTTTTTTCAATAACATTGCTTAAAATAGTTTATAATTCTAATCCTGTAGATAATATATTGTCATTTGAAATTTAATAAGTGTTTTCAGACATTGTGAAAAGTGATAAGATTTGATAAAAGAATCATATGTTAATTAGGTTCCTAAAATTATGTATCATTTTGATGCGACTACTGCCTGGCCGGTTTACCAGCCTATGGTGTCTAAGGGACTTGTGACGTTTGGCCGGTTTTCCAGCCTACGGTGTTGAATAGGTTAAACTGCCGAAAGGAATATGTGCTTAACTGAAATAGGGCAATTCTGGTGTCATGAGGATTGTAGTATGTTTGACCAAAAGTATATTCAAAGTTAGAAACATTTGTTGCCATGGGAACATTAAAGTTTGTTTGAAAGGCCCTTTTCCTTCTTCCCAGTCATACCCCATGCAGAAACTACCTCGAGGCAAGGCCCTCATCATCAACGTCAATGAAGTCATCAACAAACCTCCACGTCGAGGGACCGACATCGATCGTGACAATCTCCATAACCTGCTCAAGCAACTTCACTTCGATGTCCTGGTGTATAATGATAAAGATGGCCTCAGTGCACAGGTGAGTTAATGATAGGAGGTCTCTTAAACTGACTGATAGTGAGTCAGTGTGACTTTGTGTCAATTAAACAGTGTGACTGTCAGCATGACTGTGTGACTGAGTCAGTTAAACTGTGTGTGACTGTGTCAGCATGACTGTGTCAGTTAAACTGTGTCAATGTGACTGTCAGCATGACTGTGTGACTGAGTCAGTTAAACTGTGTGTGTCAGTGTGACTGACTGAGTCAGTTAAACTGTGTGTGACTGTCAGCATGACTGTGTCAGTTAAACTGTGTCAATGTGACTGTCAGCATGACTGTGTGACTGAGCATGACTGTGTGACTGAGTCAGTTAAACTGTCAGTGTGACTGTCAGCATAAACTGTGACTGGCAGCATGACTGTGTCAGTTAAACTGTGTGTCAGCAATGTGACTGTCATCATGACTGTGTGACTGTGACTGAGTCAGTTAAACTGTGAGTCAGTTAAACTGTGTGTCAGTGTGACTGTCAGCATGACTGACTGAGTCAGTTAAACTGTGTGTCAGTGTGACTGTCAGCATGACTGTGAGTCAGTGTGACTGTGTCAGCATGACTGTGAGTCAGTGTGATTGAGTGTATGAGTCTGTCAGTGTCTATGTGAGTCAGTGTGACTGAGTGTATGAGTCTGTCAGTGTCTATGTGAGTCAGTGTGACTGAGTGTATGAGTCTGTCAGCGTCTATGTGAGTCAGTCTGACTGAGTATCAGTGCAACTAGGTGTTTCAGTAACTGACGTGACTGTTGTCATCATATGCTCAATATGGGTGTTTGGTGTTCTGAATGACATGGTTCATGTCAGTGATAGAATGTGATGATGTTGCAAGTGAAGTGATTTTTCAGACATGTTGGTTGAAATATTGTATTCTTTTAGAAATTGAATGCAGGATGCCTGGTTCATGGTGTCATCTCAATGACTCCTGTACAATATTGCAGGGTATAGTGACAAAGCTGAAGCTGTTTTCCTCCTTGCCTGAGCACGCTGAGTCCAACTGCTGCGTTGTCTGCCTCCTGAGCCATGGGGAAGAGGGGTATGTGTTCGGTACAGATGGCAAGAAGATCCCACTCAATGAGATCTTCATGATGTTCGACAACACCCAGTGTAGAGGACTGATTGGCAAACCCAAAGTTTTCTTCATTCAAGCGTGCCGTGGAGGTTTGTGTTGCAGACTTGTCAGCCTAGTTGTGATAGCTGGTAGAGACATGATAAGCATGCATGTTGTACCCCTGACATACGATTGGTTAATATTGACGGTCAAAGTCACTTAACATGAACTTGGCACAATAAAATTTGTCTTCATGAAAATGTCAACATCTTGTGGGTGACCACAGTGCAAGGTCATGGTCACTAGATAGCTTGTGGCTTCCTTTCTCTTTTAGCTGAATGCATGAGACTTACTATTTTTTGTTGGGATTGCATTTGGTGATATTGAGTGATATTGATTAAACAGAAGAGCAAAAACCTGGCCGAAACCTTTTCCCATAGATCCATCCATACATCTTGTAAAGATGATGTTCTTTTGTTGCAGGGGCTCTGGACCCTGGGGTGCGGCTGGAGAAGGCAGACGAGACAGATGGGGGTCCTCCTGTCTGCCCCGAGCCCTGGAAACAGCTGCCCACCATGTCCGATATGGTCATCTGCTACCCCACCCAGTATGGTGAGTAGCTTACAGTAGCTTACACCACAGGCTGAAAGTTTGTGTGAATGATAATGGCCATCATTCTTGTTTAAGGTTGACTGGTTGACTGGTTGTCCACTTCAGTGTTGTAGACAATGCTGCAACAGAAAGGATTTTTATTGTTTGACTTGATTCAGTTAAACCTCTCTTCATACAGAAATTTGTCGAGAAATGATGGTGTCAGTATCATAAAACAATTGTTCATAATTCAGGTTAGCTACACAGAATTCTGGTTCTGTTTCTTGTTGATAACTGAAGGATCCCTGCTACCGTCTGCAGACTTCATGAAGATGGGAATTTTGATTGGATGATGAGTCTGTATGGTATGATTCTTCCAGGCTTGCCTGGCAGTTGATTTGAAAACCCAATGACACATGGACCTTATCTGAAGTCAGTTGACTGTTTAATGTTTGATGTGGGCAGGTTACTATGCGTGGCGTAATCGGGAGCGAGGGAGTTGGTACATTGAGGCCGTCGTACAGATCTTCATGAGGCATGCCAAGAATGAGGACATCTGCACTATGCTGAATAGGGTAGGTATAACATTAAGATCTCTGCTGCTTGTTTGATTGTTGTTTAATGCCTCCACAATATTCCAGTATATATATTCAATTAGTAAAATCAAGTGATTTGCATCATGTGCTTCAATGCGTACAGTTTGAATGTGATGTCATGCATCATCTTAGTCAGTGAGCCTGACAAAGCGTCTGGGTTGCCTGAAACAGATATACAGACACAATGTGATAGGTCTAGTGATCAGACCCTTAGGTCATAGTACATGTGTGTGGTGAGAGACCTTACCATGTAGGCCTGACAAAACAATCTGATGAGTAATCTCGTACAACTAGCATGGGTTGCTGAAATCCAGACCAGATCTTCTACATTGTGTGACTTAATGTAGGTCCTAGGATATACAGACAGGTGTCTGGTGTAAGACCAGCAGGTCATAGTATATACAGCAAGTGTGTGGTGAGAGACCTAATGTAGGTCCTAGTATATACAGACAGGTGTTCGGTGTGAGACCTAATGTTGGTCCTAGTATATACAGACAAATGCCTGGTGAGAGCCCTAATGTAGGTCCTAGTATATACAGACAGGTGTCTGGTGTGAGACCTGACATAGGTCCTAGTATATACAGACAGGTGTCTGGTGTGAGACCTGACATAGGTCCTAGTATATACAGACAGGTGTCTGGTGTGAGACCTGACATAGGTCCTAGTATATACAGACATGTGTCTGGTGTGAGACCTGACATAGGTCCTAGTATATACAGACAGGTGTCTGGTGTGAGACCTGACATAGGTCCTAGTATATACAGTGAGAGGTGTCTGGTGTGAGACCCCGCCCATAGAGTGGAAGGTATATACAGACAGGTGTCAAAAGATGTGAGAATATGGTACTTGTTGGTCCCTGTCTGGCTCTCGCATTAATGTGGAACAACAAGGACTGACCAACTCGACAGTATAATGTGTCCTAGTATATATTCAGACAGGTGTCTGCTAGCACTATAAAACCAGCTTCACCTGACATAGGTCCTAGTATATACAGACATGTGTCGTCCTAAAACCCCTCACTCACCTCACCTCACAGACAGGTGTCTGATGTGAGACCTAACATAGGTCCTAGTATATACAGACAGGTGTCTGGTGTGAGACCCTGATATACAGACAGGTCCTAGTATATACAGACAGGTGTCTGGTGTGAGACCTGATGTAGGTCCTAGTATATACAGACAGGTGGTGTCGACATAGGGTGTGAGACCTGACATAGGTCCTAGTATATACAGACAGGTGTCTGGTGTGAGACCTGACATAGGTCCTAGTATATACAGACAGGTGTCTGGTGTGAGTGTAGGTCCTAGTATATACAGACATGTGTCTGATGTGAGTCCTGACATAGGTCCTAGTATATACAGACAGGTGTCTGGTGTGAGACCTGACATAGGTCCTAGTATATACAGACAGGTGTCTGGTGTGAGACCTGACATAGGTCCTAGTATATACAGACAGGTGTCTAGGTGTATATACAGACAGGTGTCTGTGAGACCTAGTATATACAGACAGGTGTCTGGTGTGAGACCTGACATAGGTCCTAGTATATACAGACAGGTGTCTGGTGTGAGACCTGACATAGGTCCTAGTATATCTGGTGTGAGACCTGACATAGGTCCTAGTATATACAGACAGGTGTCTGGTGTGAGACCTGACATAGGTCCTAGTATATACAGACAGGTGTCTGGTGTGAGACCTGACATAGGTCCTAGTATATACAGACAGGTGTCTGGTGTGAGAGACCTGACATAGGTCCTAGTATATACAGACAGGTGTCTGATGTGAGAGACATACCTAGACATAGGTCCTAGTCCTAGTATATACAGACAGGTGTCTGATGTGAGACCTGACATAGGTCCTAGTATATACAGACAGGTGTCTGGTGTGAGACCTGACATAGGTCCTAGTATATACAGACAGGTGTCTGATGTGAGACCTGACATAGGTCCTAGTATATACAGACAGGTGTCTGATGTGAGACCTGACATAGGTCCTAGTATATACAGACAGGTGTCTGGTGTGAGACCTGACATAGGTCCTAGTATATACAGACAGGTGTCTGGTGTGAGACCTGACATAGGTCCTAGTATATACAGACAGGTGTCTGATGTGAGACCTGACATAGGTCCTAGTATATACAGACAGGTGTCTGGTGTGAGACCTAATGTAGGTCCTAGTATTTACAGACAGGTGTCTGATGTGAGACCTGACATAGGTCCTAGTATATACAGACAGGTGTCTTGTGTGAGGCCTAATGTAGGTCCTATTATATACAGACAGGTGTCTGGTGAGAGACTTCATATAGGTCCTGGGGTGGTGGGGTAGCCCGTTGGTTAAAGCGTTCACTCGTCACGCCAAAGACCCGGGTTCGATTCCCCACATGGGTAGAATGTGTGAAGCCCATCTCTGGTGTCCCCCGCCGAAATATAACTGGAATGTTGCTAAAAACTAAATGTTGCTAAAACTAAACTCAATCACACACAAATGTAGGTCCTAATTCACAAGATAGGTGTGCCTGAGAAAGATTGTTACTACAGTTGCTCAGTGCAAATGGGCCTGTATTAACATGGATAACTTGTGGAGCATGAGATCTCAAGATCAGACTGTTTACTTTCAGGTGAACCACCTGGTGTCCAAGAAGGTGTCCCGCTGTCCACAGATTGACATGGACCGCATGACACAGATGTCGGAGTACATGAGCACCCTCAGAAAGCCTCACCTTTTCTTCTTCCCTGGCATTGGCAGTGGATAAGTTGTTTTCAGAAAGTAAAGAAGAAGTGTGGTGGTCTCCATCGCTGCATGTGGCCTACATGTGGAAGAAGTCCTGAGGGTGTGGAGCAGCTAGCGGGGCACCATAGACCATAACACAATATGAAGATATGTGTCACATCCTGATAGAGTATCTTGGGGAGTGCCTTGGTTAATGACACCATCCTGATGGTGAAAGCGTTGAGGGGAGTGCCTTGGTTAATGAAACAATGTGATGATATGTATATCAATCTGTCTAGAGGTATGACACAATTCAGTAATGGCAGGATATCATGTAGCAAGTGTGAGTGTGTCAACTAAAGTACTGTCGAAAATTGTCCCCAAAAATTTACACAATTGCAAATAGCATATGTCGAAATAACCCACATCGGCCTAACTGAGCGTTCAGTAGGATGTGTAATAGGACATCCAGAAAAGCATGTTTACTCGTAACATCGTGCAAAACTTAGAAAAAATATGAATAGCTGCTGAAAACAATAGATCAGACTATAGATGGCAATTAGGTTGCTCAGCCAGGTATGACGATGGACCGTTGACTCACCTGGCATGAAGTACATTTGCTGCATACAGGCCCAAGGGGTCATCTCAAAGATATTTTATGCTTTTACATGTGCGTTGTATATGTCTCATCTATTGATTAACATCTTACGTGTCTTTCTTTAATAAAGTTTATGTTGAGATATGTAAAAGAGTATGATACCCATAGAAAAGAATAAATTAGCCATCGTATTAAATGTCTAAAAATATAGGTGACATGACCAGCCGAAGATCGACAGGACTGGATGTTATTAGTAAATTGTTATGATATTCCGTTTATTTCCCCAGTTTAAGTCCCCTAAAGGATTGTCTCATCTTAGCGGATATTTCTATCCCCTAGACCGACCCCCACCACCATCTGCAACACCTGTCCTGGTTTTGCTTTTGAGACGGCGCCTCTTTTTATAGTGATAGAGAGATTCCTTGGTAGCTGCACCCTTAATAGTTTCAGTCTTAAAGTTGTTATTTTTTATGTCAGCTTTCGTTTATAATGAAACTAATTTTAATCTCAAAATGGGCATTTAAAAAGTTTCATTTGTAATACAATATCATCGCACACTAATTTGCATAAAGCCATGGTCTGTTCCAAATAAGTCGCTTTCGACTTAGAAAAAACCTGCATTGCTCATTTCTGCACTAATCTCTCCTCAGTAAAGTCCTTTTTCTACATTTCCCATCTCCCTACCACTGAGACTGTAGTTAGGCCGAACTTAGTTTAACAGATATTTCACATTTTCACATATTAACTACATAAATTGTAGATATATATGCAAAACAACAGTTTTTTTCTATTTCCGACAGTACTTTAACTCTAGAGTTTACAGTGATTGCTGCAAAGTGCTGTGTGTACCTTTGATGCTGTTTTATGTTGGATCTGAATTTTAGGGTAGGAAATCATTTCGACTCTGTTTTACATGCTTCATTTAAGTCATATCAAAATGTTATTTGGTGCTAATAAGTCAAACTAAATCATCCTTCATTGATTACATATTGTCTCCATCGGTCTCCATTTCAGCTGACAAGGTTGCTTGTGTTTTGTGTCTGCTTGAAGGTTTACTGTGTTTTGTTTTGGTGGAGAAATCAAACAATGTTTTAGATTTCATGGTGTGCTTTCACAATGGTTTTCTACACTAAACAAAGAAAGTTTTTAAGAGTATTTTATGGTGTGAAGACTGATTTTATCGTGGTGTATGGTGTATACAAAGTTTTCATAATAACTAACATTTTTGTTCAGTATAGAGAGTTTGGCCATAGAAACGTGTAGATGTCTTACTTTTGGATGTATGAGTGATCTGCATGTAGATGGCTCTTTTGGAATGGAGGAGTGATCTGCATGTAGATGTCTTACTTTTGGAATGTATGAGTGATCTGCATGTAGATGGCTCTTTTGGAATGGAGGAGTGATCTGCATGTAGATGGCATTCTTTTGGAATGGAGGAGGTCAACTGCAGGTCCAACTAATGCAACCAAATTGTAGCATATGCAGTAATGTCATGCATAGCTGGTCAATTAAGATTCAGTAATTGTGGCATTAGCATCTTCTTCCTCAGTGTGTGTCCTGATAAACAAAGTCCTTGCTTTCTTGAAGTAAGTCAAGTTCAGATATTAAGCTAAACATTTGTGGTTGCTATTGTAACCATTAGCTGGTTGGGATGACTTGGCACTGTTTGCACTCTCATGAATAATGAATGAGATATTGATGAAATTTTTACTTGACAAAGTTCACAGAATATCCAGATTGATCACAGGCATCACAGTTACCTCCCTTACAGAGATCAATGGCTGGCATCTATTTTAAGAACATGTTTTATTGGATGATGTCTTTTTTTGCCCATTTATCATGATTTACTGGCATTTGTTTGTTTTATTCATTGCTGTATTCTACTGTTAGTTTTATCTGTAGTTTTAGTGTATTATTTGTGTATGTGTTTGAGAATTGACTTGTGTGTGTGTACATGAAAGGAAGCAGGCATGTCAGGGTGTAATGGAGGAGTACAGATTGAAGGTCCCCTCTTTGTCTGTCTCCATATGTTCTTGATGATGAGACGTTCATTTCAATTCTTGATTCTGTCACATTCCTGACTGCTCAATGTTATATATTTGTTTTGCATCCATTGAATACTGACCTATTAATAATGGAGGTATTTGGATGTTTTCATGCACATTAAAATTACCGGTATTAATGTTGAGGACAGGAGACCGAAGTGTAAAGTAACTGCGTTATTTCAGAAGCAAGAAGTGATTTGGTGCAGCTTGGAGCTGCAAGGATATAGACTGACTTTCAGTAATTTATTCCTATTTTCAGTGAGACTGAACTGAGAGTGACAGTTGTGAGTATTGAATAGGTACCATGGCCTGATTTAAGCATTTAGAACCTGCACTGGTGCAACATGAAACTCAGAATGCAACCTCCCTTTTTATACCAACTTATACCATGTTAATATTTTGTTTTTCAAATAAAACAGACTTCAGCTGGAAAACTGAATAATGGGGAATTGGCTTGGAACAGTGACTCTGATGACTAAAGGGGCAGTGATTGAATAACTTTCTGTTCAGGTCATGAAAGTTTATGAAGTACGATAAAATGATCTTTGACCAAATAATGATCTTTGATCTTTGATAATTATTTTGTTATAGTCATGTTCCTAGTGATAAATATCAAACCTCAAGCATTATACATAATTTTATTCTGAGCAGCAGGTACCACCGATTTTTGTTTGGTGCAACAAGGTTATTACCTAAGTTTACACAGGGTGCAACAAGGTCATTACCTAAGTTTACACTGGGTGCAACAAGGTCATTACCTAAGTTTACACAGGGTGCAACAAGGTCATTACCTAAGTTTACACAGGGTGCAACAAGGTTAATACCTAAGTTTACACAGGGTGCAACAAGGTCATTACCTAAGTTTACACGGTGCAACAAGGTCATTACGTAAGTTGACACAGGGTGCAACAAGGTCATTACCTAAGTTTACACAGGGTGCAACAAGGTCATTACCTAAGTTTACACAGGGTGCAACAAGGTCATTACCTAAGTTTACACAGGGTGCAACAAGGTCATTACCTAAGTTTACACAGGGTGCAACAAGGTCATTACCTAAGTTTACACAGGGTGCAACAAGGTCATTACCTAAGTTTACACAGGGTGCAACAAGGTCATTACCTAAGTTTACACAGGGTGCAACAAGGTCATTACCTAAGTTTACACAGGGTGCAACAAGGTCATTAGTTTACACAGGGTGCAACAAGGTCAGTTTACACAGGGTGCAACAAGGTCAATACCTAAGTTTACACAGGGTGCAACAAGGTCAATACCTAAGTTTACACAGGGTGCAACAAGGTCAATACCTAAGTTTACACAGGGTGCAACAAGGTTAATACCTAAGTTTACACAGGGTGCAACAAGGTTAATACCTAAGTTTACACAGGGTGCAACAAGGTTAATACCTAAGTTTACACAGGGTGCAACAAGGTTAATACCTAAGTTTACACAGGGTGCAACAAGGTTAATACCTAAGTTTACACAGGGTGCAACAAGGCTCTGTTTTCTTACATCAAGCCCTGGATATGTTCTGTTTAATAGACAACGAATCTGACAATACTCAACACTCAGAGCATTAAATATTGCCAGTAAAGATCAATAGTGAAATTCAGGGGAATGATGATCATGGCTCAGTTGTAATGTAATGTGCAGTACATTTTGGTTTCCTTTCACAGTTCACAGTTCACAGTTCAGAGCAGTCGTTCACCAGACGACATGACTACAAGCATCGTTTTGTTAGGGAAGCCATGTCACAATATCAATGTATTGGTAAATTGTTAATGTGGATGATTTGTCAATACCAATGTATGAATGTCAATACTTCAGTAAATAGTCACTGCCATGAAATGTTTAATATATTTAGATTTTGGCCCCAGTAGCATCAGGCTATGTTACTGACTGTTACAGGCTGACTCAGTTGCTATGCTACGTACAGACTGTGAAAAGAAATAATGATATAAACACCTTCCTTGAAGAGAACCTAATCAATAGTGGGTTTCTCAAAGTATGTGTGAACTGAATAGTGAGAAGAATTGTGATGATGCAAGTTTTGTAATGTTTTGTCAATGTTACAAGTTATTGCCCCTTGTAATAATAGTATTATCAGATTTGTACATAGTATATTAACATCAAGACTGTTATGACTGTGTTCAGTTGACATGTCTTACATTATAAGTCAAGCAAGGTATAGTTCATCCTGACAGTTGTACAGACGTTGTAGAGGGATGGTGTTCAGTGAGGCCCTGGCCAGTGTCACCAGAGTTGCCCTTACGAGAAATAGTTTCTTTTAAAAAAAGGTTCACATGAACTTTGAAGATATTGCTGAAGTTTTGAGGTTATTCTTTTGAGTCTGAAGACACTTGCTACTCATTGTTTTCACCAGGTGAATATTGTTGTGTTCAAGAACGTTGACTTTAGTAGGCGGGGTGAGGTGTGAGAGCTGGCACTTGTGCCATGAGTTGAGATGCTGCTGCTGCTGCAGGGGTAACTGTGTAACTCTGTGCTGCTCCCTACACACGGAGGGATCTTGGCTTGCTGCACAGAGCTAAGTACCATGGATGTTTCCTAAGATCGCTCGAAATTTGTATTGTACTTCATATGCATGCATCATGACCTTATGGCAAATTGAACATACTTCATTTTGTAAAACATTTGCCTTAAAATATAAATGTGCATATTATGAATTGATCACCAGTATATTTACTAATCAAGTTAGAATTCAGACCAGCAAGGGTCATTGGGCCCAAAAATTGGTGTCTATTTGATGATTCCATTTTGATGGAGACATCTCTGGGGCAATTTTCATGGTGCAAGTTGTGTTGCAGTATTCGTGGCTCACAATTGATGTACTTCATGTGGGGTTGTTAGTGCAGAATGATAAGAATTTGGAATCTCTTTAAGGTGTATTGAGGAACAGCCAAAAGGCTGTAAGTAGTGACAGATCCGAGTCAGGGAGCAGCACAGGGTACTGCAGCTACCTGCTGTGGCTGGGTGGAGGCGAGATTTATGTCATGGGTGTGTGTTGAGTACATGTTTAAGATTTCTGGGTTTGTTTTGACTGTTGACCAGCTGTAGGTGTGAATAGTTCAGCTCTCTGCGTGTGTTCACTGGCTCTCTGCAAGGTGTGCATATTGACAGACTGTCTACAAGGATATGTGTGTGTTCACTGTCTTTCTGCCAAGTGTGTAACTTCACTGGGTCTCGGCCAGATGAACAGCTGTCTGCCAGGTGTGTGTGTTGACTAGCTGTCAACCAGATGCTTGTGTTTCCCGACTGTCTGCCAGGTGCGGGTGTTCACAGGCTGTCTGCCAGGTGCGTATGTTCACAGGCTGTCTGCCAGGTGCAGGTGTTCACAGGCTGTCTGCCAGGTGCGTGTGTTCACAGGCTGTATGCCAGGTGTGTGTGTTCACACGTCTGCCAGGTGTGTGTGTTCATAGGCTGTATGCCAGGTGCGGGTGTTCACAGGCTGTCTGCCAGGTGCCGATGTTCACAGGCTGTCTGCCAGGTGCATGTGTTCACAGGCTGTCTGCCAGGTGCGTGTTTTTACGGGCTGTCTGCCAGGTGCGGGTGTTCACGGGCTGTCTGCCAGGTGCGGGTGTTCACAGGCTGTCTGCCAGGTGTGGATGTTCACAGACTGTGTGTGTGTGTGTGTCTTGGCTGACAGGTGCGTGTGTTGACTAGCTGTCAACCAGATGCTTGTGTTTCCCGACTGTCTGCCAGGTGCGGGTGTTCACAGGCTGTCTGCCAGGTGCCGATGTTCACAGGCTGTCTGCCAGGTGCATGTGTTCACAGGCTGTCTGCCAGGTGCGGGTTTTTACGGGCTGTCTGCCAGGTGCGGGTGTTCACGGGCTGTCTGCCAGGTGCGGGTGTTCACAGGCTGTCTGCCAGGTGTGGATGTTCACAGACTGTGTGTGTGTGTGTGTCTTGGCTGACAGGTGCGTGTGTTGACCACCTATCTGCTGTTGGATGTTGGCAGATGTTTGCTCTTTTTTTAACATTCCATATTCACTGCCAGAGGTGATTATGTCTCGTATTGTTTTACATGAATATATCAATAAAGTTACAATTCTATAACATTCCAATTGTCTTTGTGTAACTCTGTGGGAACGTAAGTGTGTCCTGATAGATGTGTCACATGGACTCTGTGGTCACAGATGGAGACAGATGTGTGACACAGACTCGACAGTTACACATGGAAATAGCTTTGCGTCATCCATGTTTGATCCATGCTGTCACAGAGGTGAGACTATTTGTCATGGCGAGGTTTAGCCGATGTCCGTGTTGGTTTTTGTCGGTGTACGTTACAATCTGCAATATTCCAGCTGTATCCCCAGCTGTATCACCGCGGCCTGTAAATAATCGAGTCCAGGTCAGACGATCCAGTGATTTAAGAGTAACGACCCATTCATTTCTGACTGCAAGTATAGGTTACAAGGGGGACATTTACAGCACGGCAACCCCTCGGTTTGGAGATAAGAGATGGCAATGCGATGTTCGGAGAGAGAGATGGCTTCTTCAGTCTTCCCTAACATCTTTACACCTTTTCCAATTGCCGCTGGTTATTGTTCCAAATCCCAATTCAATTCTATTTTGATGACTGGTCCACCATTATATTCGTTTTCAGGGTGAGATCATTTATCACCTGCTTCTCTTTGGCAATTCATCTCTTGAAAAGCTGCTTCCATAACGCCGATAAAAAGTTGAGTTGAGTACACAGGGAATTGTGACCCTATTATTTATGTCCTGTTGGGACTCCCGGTGAGTGGAGGTCCAGCACCTGGTGCATGGAAGATATGACTCCACAGAGAAGCGTGTGATAGGGCTCTGTGGCAGAAGGCACCATCGTTGATTGTGGATATGCATGTTCGATGTGTTTTTAACCATGCTGTCGACCCGGTCCTGTTTGTCGACTCGTACGAAAACCATGGGTTGCTGAAGATTTTACTGTATGCAATCTTCGCGGTTAATATAAAAGTATCCTGGTACTTCGAACTGGGACTCGATTATTCTCTTTCCAAGCAGCTTACGAATATTATATGAAACCTTACTGACATTGTTCATAGCACCCTCATACGCAATAATGAAGGTTCTCGCTTCTCAATAGCTGGTGTGAACGAGTGCACCGGGATGTTGTCGAGACGTCCTGCGTGTTGATGGCAAACTCGACTGTTGTCAATAATGATTGTGTCGGGGCATAGTTACATCGTCAGCGATCAAAGTGTTCGTTAACGAGGTTTCACACGTCACGAGCGAAACAGCTCCAGAGCAGTATGGACTGGAGAGTATTGGTTTCTGGAGGAAAGGTATACTTTGACAGAATGTATACCAGAACCACGCTAAACCTTGACGAACAAACGTGTGTCTTTCAGTGTTTTGAATGTGGTACAGCTGTATCGGTGGTGGCCCCGTTCAACAAACCGTTCGTAGCGATTCGACAGGCGTAAGTCTATGTCGAAGTATGGGAGTTACGATCACCATAGCGCTGAGACTATCGTAAGTCTATGTTAAAGTATGGGAGTTACGATCACATTAGCCCTGAGACTATTGTAATTCTATAACAACGTATGGGAGTAACGATCACCTGAGACTATCGTAATTCTATGTCGAAGTATGGGAGTTACGATCACCTTAGCGCTGAGACTATCGCAAGTCTATGTCAAAGTATGGGAGTTACGATCACCTTAGCGTTGAGACTATCGTAAGTCTGTCAAAGTATGGGAGTTACGATCACATTAGCCCTGAGACTATCGTAAGTATATGCCAAAGTATGGGAGTTACAATCACCATAGCGCTGCGACTATAGTAAATCTATGTCGAAGTATGGGAGTTACGATCACCTTAGCGCTGAGACTATCGTAAGTCTATGTCAAAGTATGGGAGTTACGATCACGTTAGCCCTGAGACTATCGTTAGTCTATGTCAAAGTGGCTCGTGAAGGCCCGGGTTAGAATATTGATCTTCAGTAATCCATGCTTGTCGTAAGAGGCGACTTACGGGATCGGGTGGTCAGGCTCGCTGACTTCGTTGACACATGTCATCGGTTCCCAATTGCGCTGATCGATGCTCGTGCTGTTGATCACTGGATTGTCTGGTCCAGACACGATTATTTACAGACCGCCGCCATAGAGCTGGAATATTGCTGAGTGCGGCGTAAAACTAAACTCACTCACTCTATGTCAAAGTATGTGAGTTACGATCACCATAGCTCTGCGATACCTTTGTGGAACAGAACCCTGATCATGAACGCCACCGGTGCAGTGAGAGTTTGTCTGGTAACTAGAAGCATGCGGCTGCAGATAATGTATGTGATATTTTATGTTAGAGAAATGAAACCCATGCCACAGGAGAGAAAGCATCAACCGACAGTCCACATTTTGGGAATGATCCTTCAATCTAAAGAATTAATGCATGTCACCTGTAAATCACAACACAATATCTTTCGACTCTGCTCCACTGCTGCTGGTCCCATCAACCAGAATGTTCGTAAGAGGCGCATGTCATCGTATCATAATTGCGTAGATCGATGTTCATGCTGTTGATCACTGGATTGTTTGGTCCAGACTCGATTATTTACATACCGCCGCCTTATAGCTGGAATATTGTTGAGTGCGGCGTTAAACGACAATCAATCAATGAACGTAAGAGGCGCTGTGATGGATCCATGTGACCAGGCTCGGTGACCTGATAGCGTGGATCGGTGCTCATAATGTCGATCACTGGATTGTCTGCTCCAGACTCGATTATTTACAGATTTCTTATACCTTGAATATTGACAAGGGTGATGTTAGACAACAAAGAAACTAACAGCCACACCGATATTTATTCTAACGCTTCCCAGTCCTCGCCCATGTCTTCGTTATTCGCAACATCATGTTCCCCGTCAACTCGCCTCTCAAGCCCGCATCACATGTACTTCATCTCGACCCCGCATCCCACGTGAAGAACATAGATGAAAGCCTGATACAGACACCGGTCGCTGAAACCATATAACAGTATTCAAATCATATAACCTATATGAAACTTCTGTTGACGTCCTTTAATACAAGTATGTCCGTCTGTTAATGTTGCTATCATCCCCTCCCGGGGCTGCTGGCGACTTCGCTACAAGGCTCTTTATGAAGCTGTCATGCTAGTAATACCCCGCGTCTGTTAATGACTTGCCCTGTAATCCCCCCCTCAATTCTTCTGGCTCTACCAATATTGATTACGACCATGTTCAAAGAGATAGTACCTTGCAGGAATAGGGAAACGTGGCGTAATACTTCAATGTCACGGCAAACAACAATCAAAACTAAAGTTTACAAGCAATTACCAAGTTCCTTGAATCACTGCTGTTTATCCCACCCGGACATGCGTATCCATGGTGTTTTAAAAACCACGTGCAATTATGATGTCTGCGCGCCTGTTCCTAATGCTGAATAATTCCTTTTACAATCTGTTTATTATAATAATAACACATGTTCATATGGACGTATTTATCCGTAATATACAATCTACAAAAGGGTGTGTTCTACCGGTATGGAATACCTTCCGCCAGGCAATCTTATGGATTTATTAGATTAGGGCGGTTAAGGATTTGATGACGTCAGAGTTTCTATAGCAACCACAAAAAGCCACAATGACTTCATACAGCAACCAAGACAAGCTCGGGCGCTGAGGTTTTTCCATTTCTCTGATGAACCTGGTTCCTACTCTCGCCCAAATTGTAAGCTTCGTTTCTTTATTTGTTCTCGTAATCTCGCTTCCTCCAATCCGCATTGGAGAGATAAAATAGCACACAGTCCAAATCCGGATCGTTGCTCCAGAAGCGACCATGTTCGATTGTGTCTCGTCAGAGTGTATTTCGCCTTTTCGATATCACCGCGTCATACGGAAATTGACAGGTCTCATCACACGTGATTAGTGTGAGATGTAGATCATGGTGGAATTGAGGGGTCTGTATTTCGTGGTGACTACGCAGATACATCATCATCATCGTCGTCGTCGTCGTCGTTGTCGTAGTCACCTCAGGGGGATTCCAACATAATGTAGTGTTGAGGAAATTTCGCTATGCAGAGTCGTGTCCCTTGGACGTGCCAGAATCCTGTAATCAGCAGCGACATCCCCGTGCTTTAATGTTTTACCAATGTGGTAAAGGCGGAGACCTGCAAGGGCTGACATGCTCTGGCATAGCTGGACTGCTATTCGAAAACGCGTTTAACGCAACTCACCCATTCAATACTTCACCCAATTCAACATTACCAATACCAACCTAGACGCCTGTGCACCTATGTAAATATACAAACAAACATATCTTTAGACCTATAGCACTTGACGCTTACAACGAACAGACTACTATAACGATTAGGCTCATCCTTTGTCCTGGCCACTCTGTATATTTCTAATGCTAAAACTAGTTGTCCCTCTTCAGTTGGTTGTAACCGTAGTTTGCTGTATTTTTAAACACGTATGACGTCATCTTTACACCAATTTAATAACACAAATCGACATATCTGTACAGCTACATAACGTCACTGCCACATATATCTGTTCACCAAAATATTGTGCTCCAGAAATGAGGCCGCCTCTATGACGCACCTCTATAAAGCCCTGCGTGTCCTTTTCGCTCTTGTGACGCCCCTTCATAACGCCCTGCATGTCGCCCAGATCTGTCACCCTTTTCGCCCTTGTGACGCCCCTTCATAACGCCCCGCATGTCCCCCAGATCTGTCACCCCTTTCGCCCTTGTGACGCCCCTTCATAACGCCCCGCATGTCCCCCAGATCTGTCACCCTTTTCACCCTTGTGACGCCCCTCCATAACGCCCCGCATGTCCTCCAGATCTGTGTCACCCTTTTCACTCTTG